TGGAAGAGGATATAGGTCCTCCCACAGAGAACCTAACACTGAAGTGCTCAATGCCTTCACCCAGTTCTTCAGAACTGAGGCAAAAGCCAGTGAAAAATTTACAACCCCTCTCTGAGTCTGCGGTCTAAATACTAGCGCCCTCTTAGAGGAACTAGCGATCAAAAAAGAGACTCACACATTCAAGCAACAACTTCAAGCTGAGCATGAATGCTCCTATGCTTCCCAACCCTGGGTAACGCCTAGTAGTAACCTCTCCATCGACAACCATCGCCAGAACCACGACCTTCAATACAAGCGGTCCTGCCCTTCCTCCTCAAGCTCTGCGCTCCATGCAAACTCTCCAGCATCCTTAATGGCTGCTCAAGTTATCTCTGCTGCAACCGCCCAAGCCAAGAGTCTGAAGAGTATACCTACTCCCGCTTCCTCTACCCCTCATGAAGTGGATCCTGGCTCAGATGTTGATGATATTGTTGCAGCAGCCGAGCTATTGGACCTAGAGCGCGACACCTGGATCAAGAGCCTATCTAACGCTCAATTCTTGGGTAGAGTTGCCGTCCTCAGCCTCACCTTGTCCCATATACTCATTCTCCTCGTCCTATTAGCCGTGTTTGGTTCTGCCATGACTGATGTCTTCTTAACTCAATAAGAACTCCTAAACTCCTACACAACATTGCAGCCCCTCCTACTGGATGAGCTGGAGGGCATATGTGACATTCGTTAAAAGGCTTAGGCTCCCAATGCCAAAGTGGTTACCAATTAATATATTGATCAACTCTGATATATTCTCCCCTTTTACCTTACCCTGTTTATTTCTTTTATTCCTACTTTCCCTGATCCTCTCTAGCCTGTATAAACTAGCGTACTTAGTGTAGGATCGGGAGTTGATCCTTCCCCCTCAAAATAAAGCTTAGTTCAGCCAGTTTACTACTGTTCAAACCCTAAGTTCTCTCAAGTCAACTCAATTCTCATGTGTACGTTCTTAGAACACCACAGGTACCTGGAGAGATCGCGAGATTGCTGACAACAAAACAAGATTGCAAGATCGCAAACACTAAAATAATATGTTCACCAGGGATGGATGGCCACCCTTCCGAGAGCTGTATATGCCATTCTAATTTCTGAGAAGTTTGGTAGGCTGGCTGATCAATAACCATACAGAATGGATATATTCCAGAGTGGATAACTAGACTTAAAGATGTATCGCACTTTTAGGATTATTAGCCATATGGATATATCTTTCTGCCTGTATCCTGTGCAGTGAGGATATCAATATCATCATTTAGTAGATTTTTTGAGCCATTACAATGTCATTTGCACAGCATGTTTGATCTGTCTAAAATAATCTAGTCTGCCTGCAATGTCAAGTTTGTCTACATTGTCCAGTTTGTCTAGTCTGTCCAGTCTGTCAATATTGTGCCTTTGTGTATGGATTGTAAGGCTTTGTGACAGCATTGTAAAGAAGGGACTTAGCTGTGGGATTGTACTGTTTGTACAAATCTGTACAAATCTGTACAAGGTCCCCTAGTTTGCAATTGCTGATGTGGGTAGCCCAAATTTTGGATGTTGATACCCGTACCCACCCGGGTGTAGCACCCAAGCCAACCTGTAACCCGTGGTACTCAACCCGCACCCCACCCGTGGGTTCCACCCGGGCAACCTCTACCCATGTCAGGCCCTAGAACGACCCACGGTGACATCAACAGAGAGCAGACCCACCGCCCTCTCTCATTAGCGAGGTAATTCTGCAAATGCCATTCTATTGAGCTTGATAGTCCCTTCTAAGAGCCTGGACAGCAGCGTTTATTTCCCAGTTTGTTTTGCAGTTTATTTTATTTACCACAACATGTACAAATAAATGTGACAAGTGGCTGCATCACGCACATGCATGACATCATACATAACATTGTATGGCAACCATGCCTCCAGCCAAAGAGCACATCCAGTGTTTCCATCTTCTGCGAATGGCAGCGGCAATGGTTGCTCAAGTCATTGTGGGCATTGTAGTTGCCTATATGACTCCATTTCTCAATAAAGAGCCCTACCACACCTCAATCCTCACTGGGTGTGCATGGGTGCAAGAGCTCGTCAATGGGCATCCCAACCGCATCAAACACGAGCTTGGCATGAGGAAGAATGTATTCTGTGCACTTGTACGAGAACTTAAGGCGTGTGGGCTATGCGATTCAAAGTATATACTGCTCGATGAACAAGTTGCTATATTTCTCTACACCTGTGTGACAGGGCTATCAAGCCGTCATGTTGTGGAACGCTTCCAGCACTCCCACACCACCATTCAAAAGTATGTTCACGGTGTGGGATATTTGTCATAGCCTCACACATGTCACAAGATATTTCAAGAGAGTCCTGCTTGCATTGTCTTCAGCCCCGCTCTACAACAAATTCGTGTTTCTTCCACTGGAGAATGCACCTATACCAAAGGAAATATTGGAGAATTCCAAACTCTTCCCATACTTTTCAGGTGCACTCGGAGCCATGGATGGTACCCACATCGCATGTTGTCTGTCTACAGAAGAACTTCAACTGTCACGGAATCACAAAGGCGGCATCAGCCAAAATTGTCTCGCCTGCTGTTCCTTTGATCTCCGGTTCCAGTACATTCTCAGTGGTTGGGATGGATCGACCTCAGACTTGACTCTCTACAATAACACCCGACTCACTGATCTATACATTCCATGTGGATGGTACTATCTTGCAGATGCAGGGTTTGGGATATGCAGCACACTTCTCATTCCATACCGAAGTGTTCGATACCACTTGGCTGAATGGGGCCGAGCTGCTGTTCGGTGAGCAACATTCACTGTGACCAGACCAATGAATCTTCTCATGCAAGACAGGCCCAAAACATCCCAAGAAATCTACAACCTTCGGCATGCACAAGCTCAAAATGCCATTGAGTGAATTTTTGGGGTTCTCAAGAGACAGTTCGTCATACTCGTGCACCCACCAGAATATAGCATGTTGACACAAGCCCGAATCCCCCCAGCACTTTGTGCTGTCCACAACTTCATCTGGATTCATGATCCAATAGAAATAGAAGAATTTGCCGATGAAGATGTTGTTGACCTTGATCCAGGTGAGCCAAGAGGTGATCTTGCTGAAGGGCCAGCCGATTATGCAGAGAGGCAACAGGCAACTGAGAACAGAGATAATATTGTGGCCGCTATGTGGGGGGACTACACTAGAATTTGCTGTGCTCGTCAGAATGTAGTGGGACAGTAGATGACACTGCAAAGTCTACACTAGCTACTATAGAACCTGCCGGTTAATATGTTTAATTTTTTGGTCGACAAAAGACTTCCTCAGTCCGTCATCAAGCATGACCATATAGGCATCAGCGGCACTGACATCCATCTGAAACGCTTCAATAAGCGCCGCCATACTATCATCGTCGAGGTGCTTCTCTAGCTCCTGTGCACGCCGCATGGCTGCCTGCTTGCACTGAGGTGACAATACTACCAGTGCCTGTGTGACAGTAGATGAGGATTGTGATTGTGAAGTTGTGTGAAAGACGTTGGTGAACTCAGCAAATTGATCGTTGATCGCATAGAGCACTGCTGACAGTCCACTGATGTGCTGGCGTTTTGATGATGGAGCAGAGGTGCCAGACCCAGAAGCAGTGAGCGATGGAGTCATCGAAGATGTAGCTATGAACTTGCACTTGACAGGAACTGGTGGAGGAGTTGCTTCCCAGGGAATGATATCATCTTCATCGTCATCATCACCCTCCACCACCAATGGTTCTCTGTCAACCGCCACCCCACCATCAACACCTGCGACCTGCTCCACCAAGTCACCGTGCACCAAGTCAACAGGCCCATTGTCCTTCAAAGCGACATCCTCAGGTATTTCTTCATCCACCAGATTATCGCCGTGAGTTGCCTGTCCAGATTCAAAGGTTTCTTGACCAGCGTGAAAGGAGTTGGTGCCACATGAGAGTTGCAAATGCATGAGCTCGTCCACCTCATGAAAGTGTTTCCAGCCTTTGTTGTGAAACAGCTTTGTATCAGGACGTGTCTGGAAAAATAGTTAGACCGCTGGCAGATGACAGTCATATTGCTGCACTGCAAACACACCTTTGCAAATGCTGTCCATCGCGCAGCATTAGCTGGACCAATATTCACACCCGACTCGTCATCCCATGAAAAGCCTGACTGCGATTTGATGTCGACAATAGCGGCATGCTTTTTCTTGCACTGGCAGCATGTAATCAGCTGGCACAATTTGGGTAGAGTGGTCACACATACTGAGTTCCACTTGTTTTTGCAAGACAGCCCATCCCTATTATTTGCTACATATTTCTCCTTCATGATGCCGTCTGGTGGCTCCAGTAAATGATCTGCTGCACCTGTAAATGTTGTCTGCTTGAAATTGACGCCATCTCCACCTTCTGCACAATGAATTATGAGATATTCAATGAGGTGGGAGGTCTCTTCAACAGTCCAGTGAGCAGACGAGCCAGAACTTGTCAGAAATTCTTATATGGCATCTTGATGGATTAAAATGGCCTAACGACACAGCCCAATTATAATAGATTATGATCAAACAGTCAACATATTAATAAGCATTATCATGCTATTTTAATGCAGATTTTAATGGTATCACAACCGAGTCATAATATCATCTCAATGTTGTGACAATTGCATTTCGACGACATCCTGACTACATTGTGACAATCTCATAAGAAGGATGTGATGAGCATTGCAGATTTTGATGGCATCACAACCAAGTCACATTATCATCTCAATGTCTTGACCATTGCATTTCGACGACACTCTGATGAGCATTACATTATCAATTACCATCACACTAAGTATAAAATTATGATGTCATTGCTACTACGGTAGAAATACTGTACATGTATAGAGTCAAGGTCTTGAAAATTGTTGAGGTGGGTCCACACGAGGTTGGTGGGAGCTGCTGCCTGGTGAGGATGGGCAAGTGGACATTGGCCCAGGACCAACTGAAAATACTGTATGGTATCATCCAGATGAGACATCATCTGTCTTGAGCGCTCTTGCAGTTAATGATGGACTGCATTTGGTGTTCGGTCAGCAAAAGTCAACAACAAAAGAAAAGGCCAGCAATGGAAACAAAATGGGTTGCGCAAGCGTAGGCATGGCACAGCGTGAACGCGAGTTCCTGCAGGCTGAAAAAAAGTTAGGTACTATATGACACAATGAGGAACTGATTTACTTGTCTGTGTTATTCTTGTAGATGTCGTCCCTGAGTGTGATGTAATGACTTGGTCTGCTAGCTATAGAAACAATGAGCAATCAAGAAAAATGACTGATGATGAAGTACAAACTTCCGAGAAGGCCTCCATGCGACTGGAGGTAAAAGTTGCATACAGCGGGGTTCCCAACTCCCTTGTCTGCAATGAATCCTGTGGGACAGTTGCCAGACCTGTCCGCTTTGCCCCTAGAAAAACATTTATGATCAGGTGGAAACAGAGGTAACTGACCTATAACATACCGGTTCTTTGGGAAGAAGCGAACGTGGTGTCTAGAGCGAACACCGTGGATGAGCGACAAAAAGTAAAGTTAGGATGGGTCGCAGACTCACTGTTTGCCTATGACTATAAATGTCAGTTCTGGCTTGCCCACTTCAGTGTGACTCACATCAAACAATACACTGTCCTGATTGTTGCAAGTATGTAAAACAGTGGCCTTTAGCATCAGGCAAGGGCGGATACCATGAATGCATGGGAAAAACAATTTTCTATTGATAAGAACTGTGTGATGTAGATGCACATGAACGAGAAACAGGTTCACTCACCACAATGACCAGGGATATTAATTGATGCATCTGCAAACAGAAGATCAAAAGTCTATTATATGGGACTTTACCTAATAATGAGGGTCATGATCTCACCCCATTGTGCATTGACAGGTGACACACAAGATAATCTATAGAGCTGTTACAGTTAGTAGAATTCCTGCGAGAGCTCGAGGTGAAACCAGACATGTAAAAGGGAAAAACAAATAAAACATTGTGCAAGAGCAGAGGTTTTGGCACTTGCAATTGTAGAGATGGTGGTTGCAGTGAGAGAGTAATAATCATAATAATAATAATAATAATGACATGCAAGTCATCCTGTCACCATGGAATTGCATGATCACATGATTGTTTTGTCATCATCATAAGCCATAGAAGCACCAGGCCTCAGTGGCCTGGATTTCATTGGAGAGATTTTCAAAGAGGTTTTCATTAACAATGCCACTGCCAGATGCAGTGAAGACTCAGGCAAGGACGTGTGAGACAAAATGAAACTACCACTGTCAATGAACTTGAGAGTGACAACTGATACACGGGAGTCGGTATGGTAGGTAGGAGGCTAGTCTGAGAGCTCAGGATGCATCAATAAAGTAATGAGAACTATGTAGTAAAGACGGGATGAAGAGAGGAGCGGTGAACAACTTGCCCATATGAATCAACCTTTGATTGCTTCTGACCTTTTCCTCGAGGTCCCCTTTTGGATTTCGTAGCGACAGCCACCAAGTCTTCACTGGCTGGCTTCAGATGGGGTGCCGCTATCACTGTAGCAACCAAGGCAGGCTCTGAACACGTAGTACTTGATTCAGAATTGAGCAAAGCACCCTGAGTTGAGATAGATGGCACGACATCAGAAGGCAGGGGGGGTTCATGTTGCAGGGGAGAAGCTACTGCAATAGTATTTGAGACTGAGGATGCAGTCAAAGAACTCGGTTCAACAATGGTAGGATAGTGTGCACCAAGACTGTCAGAGCCAGTGGGGTCTTTATTCGAGCTGCTATCTGAATCATCCAATGCCGCCATGACACGATTGACGGAATCAATCATGTCTTCCTTGCCCGAAGTATTGCCCTGCTCTGTCTGAGCAACATTGTCAAAGACATAACTGTTAATGTGTCCAACAATAGTTTTGATGCATTCATGGGTCCACTTAATGATGAAGAATCTTTTGACAGCGCAGAAGACAGTGTAATAAGGGATCGAAGAAATGGCTCCAATACCGTCCCCGGAGAATTCTTGATCCGGGGATAGCATGAAGATTATCTATCGAATATGATATCAGTAATAGGTAGCGCCTCTGAATCATTAACATTGATACATACTGAAGTCACGCCAAATGAAATCATACCAGGAGTGCAGCTGTTGAGTTTCCAAATCTTCGCATAGGTAGGTGGGCCACCATGCCCCTTGGGGAACAATGACATCTTGCCGCACACTGAAACCTTGATAACCTTTCAAAGAAAGATATGAATAATCATCCTATAGTTGAGTTGGTGTATTTTACCTTTGCGATCACCAACCAGTTTCTGAAAAAATTTCTCTCGTCAACAATGTTACCAGGGTACAGTATTGGTGCTTTGAAAACATCAAAGGTCTTCCCCTTCCCCACCCTCCATCCAATCATATCTGTAATTTGCTGGGCAGAAGCACGGTCATATCTGGCAACAAAGTACTCGGGTGACATGTTGAAGATGCTACCTGCAACAGTATGTAGACCATTAAAGAATGATGATCGTGCCTGTTGCATGCCAGTTGCGAACTGTTCTGTACATCATCAACTCGATTATAACCATGTAAAGTTTCAAGATACATACCAAGTTAAAGAATGAATTTGTTTGCATCTCAGCGTGCATCTCATGATCGATTGAGGCGTAGAGCTCAGTGACAAGGGCAGCCTTCTCTGTCGATTTCTTTGCATAACAATGTGGGCTTGTTATGTCAACCAGAGGATCAGGGCAATCTGTCTGAAAAATGACCTTTTCAGGCAGGAACATCTCTGTCATCAATGCATACTTCTTGGCCAAACCCAAGATTAGCTTGTCGATGATGGTCTCAGACGTTATGATGGACGTGGTAGTCAATGGTGCAGATGAAGGTGGCACAGATGAAGATGGCGCAAATGAACGCAGAGATGCAGTAGATGAACATGACGATGCAGCAGCAGATGATATCTGATTAGGTGAGCACCTGTGATGTTTCAACTGCTGTGCTGCTAATGTGCCATTGGTTGCATTCAGTGCTGCGTTGTGCTCTTCCAACTTTCCTTTCTCAAGTTGAAGTTGTTTAATGTACTAGATAAAATGGGTTAGGGAATGGACAAGAGTCGATGAAAGAAAGAAGAGCCTACCACTTGAAGGTGCTTCATAGACGAATCTGTGCTTGGTGGTGCCACAGGCCATGGGACGGCATCATCTGAATCATGCCCTGAATCCGACAAGATATTAGAATCGGAATCTTCCAGGTTTGAATCAGAGTCGAGCAGAGAGTCCAACATGAGTTATAGACAGTATTATGCAAAGAGAGGAATGCGTGAGCGACTCAGAGGCTGAACGGACTCACCCCCAGCAAACAAATTAATCCTGATGTTACGGGAAAGCCCGGCTTTCCAACAGTGCACTTGATGTGGTCAATCCCATGTCCGCTTCATGGAGCACCGAGATGATGGAAGACTGAATGGAGGCTGTCCATCCAGAATGACTGACTAAAGGTTCAAAGAAGAAGCTAGAGTTGTATATCACAAGTGAAGATCAAGTTAGAGAAATACATGGTCTAACTACTGGGGTATATATAGGTATTGTCCTATGAGTTCAGGGTAGCCTTGGGTAGCCAGAAAGCGTCCCAACTAGGTAAGTGTCTATGTGAGTCATAAGGACTCAGAGATAAGAGTACCGGTTCAACGGTAAGGGTCCAGGGCATGGTACCGGCACAGCGGTAGGTGTCCAAGTCAGATAACGCTATCTGTCATAATAAGCGATAGGATAAACAATAGTCAGTACCAGTGTATCGGTAGGGGGCGATAAGGGAGAAGCACATGGCTTCTATTGATCCTGGTCTAGGTCGGTTCCAGAGCTGTCCTGCTCCAACAGCTGTCATGCTGTGCTTTGCAGTTTAGTCATGTGCCGGTGATGTCATCTGTCACGTGTTGTGATGTGGTTGTGACGGTGGCATTTGGTAGAGACGATAGGGGTCTGAGGGTCCCTGTAACACCTGAGGTCTTTATATTGCTGGCAACCCTGAGCAGTTAAGAATCTATCTGCAGTATTACTAGTGAGTGAGATAATAACAGATGCGAGTTGATTCAATAATTACACAGTATGATTTGACTCGATCACTTTGGCACACATGTTGCTATTAGTGAGATGGATCATGGAGGTGGTGACCTTGAGAAGAAATGCTGGATGAAAGATGCACATTACAACACGAGGCGACACTGTGTTATGACACACTTGTGTCAATAATGTCAATGATGCAGCTTGAGGACCTACAACGCATGTTATCTTCGGACATCATTGAGTAAGTGTTCCGCCTGCAGCGCTTGGTCCGGGTAGACCATGATCGGTCTGATTGATTCAGTTTCAGATGACCTGATGAAAGTCCCTGAAAAAGTATGTGCAAGCAATCAGCTGACGATTCAGACATAATGAAAGTACTTACAGAGGGGCATTACTAGTAATTAAATGATGCTACATTGACGGGATATAGGTAAATAAGTATGACCAGTGGTCCAGGTTACCAAATGGAGGGCGTCCATGATGAAATACAGGAGCTTGAGTGGGATGTGAAAGGGTGGGAAATACTCAGGGCCTTGAAGTGGGGTAATGAACCAGGTGCACATGCATGAAGCCAGCTCATGGCATAGAAAGGGTCTGAGTCAATTGGGGTCTGAGTGGTGCCTGCATATATTATGGAAAGGTAGAGCCCACCAAAGAGTCAAGCCAGTTGAGCTTGCAGAGACTTAACTCAAAGAAACATATCTGCGTCGACCGTGTCGATGACAAAGTAATCATCTGGTCTCCCAGGATCGCTGGCAAGTGCAGCCCCTCGGATAATTGACCTTACAGAGATTAATTCGGGAGACGACCGAGGTTTAGCTCATACACGCCATAGCCCCAGATCAGTGTCATGTTTGCTATGAACACCAATTCCAACATCGTATGGATAGACAAGTGCCAGTGAAAGATTAGTTCCACCAACTGAGCAACAAAACATGAAGATAAGGTGAGCAAAAAATGGCTGATTGTTAGTTTGAATCATGACATAATCATATTGTGGTGATCCGAAGAACTCAGGGTTGCATCGAAGGAGGTCTTTGTGCTGGCGCCAGTCAACCATAGACTCGTAGTTGACTTGCAGATATCGGTATCCAGTAATCTGAATATTATGTTATGCAGCATGATTTTAGCATTGAGTAGGTGGTAGGATAAGTGGTTGGCATACCTTGTTGTCAGCCTGCAGATGAATGCGCTTCCCATCCGGTAAAGGAATGCCATTACTAGGGAAGAATGTGTTCAGGAAGGCGTTGAGTTTGATTCGAAAACCAATGAAGGCCCTGTTGTCTGCATGCAACTGCTCAAGACTTGCAAATGAGATGTCACCTTGCACCGAGCCTAACTTTATATGGGTGCAGGGAGCTGGAGCCACAGAGATTGAGGTATTTTCTGCATTTGCATCTTCTGTTGTTAGGAGGTTGGTTTTCGGGTTATACTCGTCCAACTCATCAAGTTCAGAACGCATTGATGTTAACGTTAGCAGCCAATGATCATAGCGAAGAATCTGAACTCATTAAGGCTAGTCCTTAGTTCATGATAGTCCTGTCCTGTCGACACACAAACCTGTGTAGCAATGTCCTTGAAATTTGTTTGATTGCAGTAGATGTCCCTCACTGGGCCATGCATCTTCTCGTTCGGTTTTGTGTTATAGTTTCGTGTGGCGCCTTTTGCCAAGATGTCGTCAAATAGATGCAAACTTGCATGTTTCTTGGGGAAATTCCAGTCCTTGCCCGTTACAGGCTGTGATTTGGAAATATACTCCTAATCACAGATCATAGGTGACTGGTGATTCAGAAAGTATTGCCAAGCGTAACTTACCTCCATCAGCGCTGAAAATTCCTGCAGAGCTTGTCTTCCCGCAGAAATTGTATCTTCAGTGTGAACCTCAAATCCGGCATAAATGTCGAGATTGATGTAGTGGCGTATGCATCGCAGAAGCAGATAGCCGAGCTTACTCTGTGAACAACGGAGGATCCTCTGCGCCGCAAAGATAGCCATCTGAGGCTCGTTAGCACAGAAGTCAGCTTCAGTTGCGGCTTACCTTTGATATATCTTCGTGATGTGAGCTATCGTTGAAATCAACTCCAACTACCTTTGAGAAGTGCGTCAGATTAAGCCACCGTGGAAAAGCATCATAGCTGAGGTAGTACTATTAAGTTTGTAGTAGCTCATGTTAGATAACAATATGTACATACTTCACATCCATCTGCTCAGCAGCTTGTTGCCCACATTCAGATATCCAGAACTGAAGCTCCCTCCACAAATGGTGCCTCCAGAGCCCTCCATGATATGCATGCATGCAATCAAAGGAGAGCGCTCGGTGAATGTCGGCGAGCAGAATTTTCCAGAAGACATTCTAAAAATCATGTCTGTCAAATCAGCATGAAAGACTTTGCAAACCATACCTCAACATCACACAGTGAGCAACTTTTGAGTACTTTCTCCCTCTCCTTCTTGGATTTCTTCGTGCGGGCCAACTGAAGGGTCTCCTCAGACTGAGCACTTGTCCGCAATCGAAGTTCATGAGACAAGATTGATTGCTCATCTTGAGGGACCAAACAAATCGGACATGGGAATTTACCTTTCAGTCCGCAGATCAATGCCATAACACATCTATCACACGTCAGCAATATAACAGTGAACTTGAGTGTTGTAAGACTCACTGTTCTTCCTAGTCTGCTCTCAGGATCAAAATCAAGGGCCAAAGCAGGTGCCGGACGGCATCACCGCACTCAAACCAATATCCCGTTCTCGAGATCTGTATGATGGACTCTAGAAGTTTTAAAAAGGATGCATGCCAAACAGCATTCTTGAAGTTCACAAAGCTGCTTTTTCCTGCATGCTTTGAATCCTAACAATCAGCAGCCAACCAATGATTCGGCCACCCCCGAGACCAGTACCATTGCAGATTTTGGCAGGCAGGTTTGCAATCTGACAAATAATCGGATAGGCTTTCTGGTTACTGAAAGATGATAATTTTGCCTCGTCTGCATACAAAATAAATGCTAGTGGCTTTGCCTCAGGTGGAAGTTGTGACTACACAATGTGCAGTTGCATATCATTTTACATATAAATTGATCAAGAAGACTTACTTGCACGTCCCAAAATGCATTGGCAGTCCAAGGTTCATCAATAAAGCGCACAAAACATGTGCCATCGAATTTGTACAGGCGTTGTGCATCAAACGTAAAGTGCGGTGCAAGACGACAATCTCGCAACATATCAAGAGCCCATTCCCAAAGAGGACAGTAGTGCATATCCAACTCGTGCGTCTCCTTTTGATATGGAACCAAAATTACATCAACTTGAAACTTCATAGATTAGTTAGGTTTCACTTGTGTGTCCAATTGAACTTATTTGCCTACCGGTGTGAAGCGTTGCAAAGTGGTTGACCACAGCTCCCGGACTTCATCGTGGTTTCATAGTGTAAAGGTTTCCTCCCCACATGCAGAGCAATGAATGAGACCAAGCAGACGATTAGTTTGCTCTTCAGTAAGTGCAGCTTCAAGGGCAATTTCTGCGACTTCAAAATCGAGTTGTGTTCGGAATGGTTCCCATGGTGTGTGACTGCAAGGTACTGAATCTTCTGTGGGGCGTGTGCAAGAAAAATCAGTGAAATGATGGATGGTGGACGGAATCTGGCTGTGAGGATGATGATCAACCTTAATATCATCCAGCTGCGGTTCCTGATCTGCAGGATTCACATCACTGTAGTGGCTCTGAAGACCTGGTGATGCCATGTTGAAATCTATCAATGATTGGCAACTTCAAGGTGTTGATCCATGCATATCTGACTCAGAAGATGATTGAGCAGTTTTTGGGAATCTACTAGACTGCGCAAACATACCAATATTATCTTCTGCAGCTTTGTCTTCGGAGTTGTAACGTCACATTGACCAAATTTTGATTGGATCAACTAATAATATAGGTTTATTCAAGTGATCAATGTGAAAGTAGATTGGTTGAGTGCTGACTTACCTTTGGATGACGCTGCATGTCATTTGGAATAATTGTGAGCCTTTTGCTCTGTGCAGTTGTGAAGTCAGATATGGGGTGGAACAAAGTGTGCATACATACGTTTCTTCGCCGCTTCTTCAATAATTGATTTGACCTCATCATCTTCTTGTTTCTCCCGTTCTAGCTTCCTACATTTCTTCTTGTGTGGCACCAGTCCATGAGCTCGTACTAACATTCCACATATGTTACACTTTACCTCGTCTGATGTCCGTTGAGGAGGCATTGAAACGGAGATCAATGGCATGTTGTTATTAAAAAGGCGAGATGAAGACTCACGGGGAATTTGTGAGCAGTGAAAAGAAAGATTGATAACAAAGTTTGTATTCTATGTAAAGTACGAGGCACGAGCACATGCGTAGAATGAGGTCTATGCAAGAGCCAAGTAAGGTTAAACATCTTCATTCTTTTCACTACCACCAACTTGGCGCAAGCGCTCGTAGGCCAACAACTGTTCAAGTGATCCCTACTTGAGCAATACATTCTACAAAATCAAATAGATCCTTTTCTGCTATCTACGCTATGAATAGACTTCATGCTGACCCACACTTTGACCAGTGTCCTGACTTTGCTTCTGTGGAATTTCTCGCAGTACGCACCCCTCTCCTGAGCCCTGCTATCGACGACACACAAGCTGCAGCTCTCCTATGAACATTCTGGGTAGCAACCAATACTGCCCTTAGACTTCAGTGGCAACAGCAGCTTGCTGCAGACGAACTCATTGCAGCAGAGCATAGGCACTTACTCACCAAAGAAGATACCCAACGTCTACTGGCACAGCAAATCGAAGACTGCTGCCATAGCTGCCGAAGAGAAGAAAAAGAATTGCATCCATCACATCCCTATTCCGGACCGACCTCGCCCGCAACACAATGCCTGCCAAATCTGTTCGTTTTCTCCTCCTTGCGTTCTGCATCTCGCGTCCTGCAGTCTTGCATCTTGCAGTTATGTGTCCTGCGTCTTGCCTCATGCCTATCGGCACCTGTCCTCGGTACCTGCGTCACGCATGCTTTTAGCATGTACCTCGCTCCCACAATCGCAGCCCGTTTGACGACACCTCCCTGAGCCGCTCCAAGCACAATGGTCGTCCCTCCCTCCCAGCTCCTTCTGACAGGAAGCACTCTGGCTCCTCTAGATGACAGTTCTGCCTCCCCAGCAACACATGGCAAGGGTTCTGCCCCAAATGCCAAACCCTCCCCACCTATGTCGGGTTTTTCCAACAGCGCACACAGTCAACGCTCCTCCGCTGTGTGCGCCATTTGTCTTGGGTGTCACAGTCACCCCTTCATTCAAGTGTTCAGCAGAACACATCTGGGACCACTCCCACACAATGGTTGCAAAATGCATCAATCGCCAGCTCCTTGTGCACAGCAATGACAAGCCCTTTTGTCTCAATTGGCAAAGGGGTCGAGGATGTTCTACACGGTCCCACTGACAAGCATCACCTGTGCACTGGGTGTCTCTCCACCTCTCATGGCACTCAGTACTGCCCTCACACACAGGCAGTTGCACCCAGTTTGCCTGTATAATGCAGATGTTTGGGAGGTCCAACTTTGCCAACATGACCTGCTCATCTAATACTCCAATATTCCTGCTGGCTTTCAGGTTTGGATTCCATCTGCATCTTCCACCACTATTCACCTCTCAGTCCCCTCCAAATCATCCATCTCTTCATCTATACCAGCACACCTTCGACAACATTCTCCAGCACGAACTCAATTTGGGTCACTACATTGGACCATTCAATCAGCCTGACTTACTGTCTCTCCTCGGCCCCTTCCAATCATCTCCACTATCCATCATTCCAAAATCAGGGCAGCCCAGGGAAATTTCGCATCATCCAAAACTTCTCCTTCCCCCACTCACCTTCACCTCATCACCCCCAACCTTCCATCAACTCGTTGGTGGATTCCGATGATTTCCCCTGTACCTGGGGTACCTTCAACACTGTCTGTTCCATCCTTCGACATCTACTGCCTGGCTTCGCAAGCCGCCACACTGTGACGTGGCTGAGGCCTATCGCACCATTCCCCTCCACCCTTCACAGTGGCCCGCCACCGTCATTCGATTGGACAATGACTTTCTCTATGCAGACACCTGTACCTTGTTTGGCATGGGCCCATCTGCAGGAGCATATGGCCATGTCATGGATGCAGGTGCTGACCTCCTCCACGCTGCTGGACTGGGCCCCATCCTCAAGTGGGTGGACAATCATCTCTTCTTCCGCATTGAGTGGAAATACCTCTGCGAGTACAACGAGTACCGTCTCTCCCTCTCCAAACAGCTATCCACCCGCGGTAAGCGCCAAACCGGCGGCCTGTCTCTGGTTTGAAGGTGACACCTTCCCAGATGGTTCCTGCGAAGTCTTTGCAGAAGACTGTTGGTTTCCCCTGCGAGATTTTCATGCCGCGTCTCCATGATCAGGTGAGGACTCCCTTTTCACCTCGGATTTTTGAGACATCGACGGCGCATCCACAGTCCTGCAAATTCCCTGGGAGCTATCAAAGGACTCCATGTTCGCCTTCATTGTGCTCTTCATCGGCCTCCTTTGGAACCTTCCCAATCTCACCATTGAGTTGGGTGAGGGAAAACGAGAGAAATACCTGGCCGCCCTTCATGCGTGGTCCTTGACGGAAACTCATGTCCTGGCAGAGGTCCAGAAGCTCTATGGTAAGTTACTCCACACTTGCCTCATCCTTCCGGTGGGGAGAGCTTACCTCACCTCACTGGAAGCCATGCTTGGCATCTGCAGTAGTCACCCTTCCGTGCCATACCACTCCATCCGACATCTTCACAGCGACTTGGCTGTCATGAATGTTACCAACTGCATCTAAATTTCGATTATCAAAACCTAAGTCACCTATCCGATAAGATTAGATTAGATAAGATCCCTGATAAGATAAGATGGATAACCGATTAACGATCACTATCTTCACATCACATCTATACTACATCGACGTCATCCATCTATATCTGTAACCCTAGACATCCGAAGTCATCACATCCTTAGAAGTCCTACGATTAGGCAACGGGTTACATCATAAGCATCTACATGCCTCTATGATCGAACCATAACCGAGAGTCCTTTACGAGCCATCTCTCGAAGAGTCATCATCCCTTCACATCGCAGACCTTCACTTCCCACACATGACATGTTAAGAGTTACCTCTGTCATTCACCAAACCCCTTACATAAGAACCTGTTGCACAGTCACAGCTGAACCCTGAACCCCTATCACAGAAGCACCACTCATAGAGAAGCATGCTCATTACCGAAGACCCTGGAGAAACCCTTAGATCCGATCGTACCCAATATATCTCCAGATCCTATCTCTTATTGAGATCCTTAATCACCGCTCAAGACTTCTTGTCACAGAACTCTCTCACCCTTCTTAATCTCCGTCCACCCTGAATAGAAGCAGTACCCTGAGAACCCTGCTTAATCACCGATACCCCTATGAACCCTTTACCCTTTCTTGTAGTTGATTGGTTGATAAGACGCCCTATACCCTAGGCGCAATGTTATGATCTTATATAGATATATCACTACCTTTCATACTCAGATATCTCCGCCTAGAGAGTAGTATATAGTTTAGGTCGTAGTCAGTAGTACTCCTTAGACTTAACCTCTTTGTTCCTACCTTGTGTAGACAGAGACGTTCAATCTCAATCTCATCCTTTGCTCTTATCTTGACGAGTCCTAGTGGTTGTGTGAAACCTTTACCAATCGGTGAACGTTGATCATACCACTTGGCTTGGTGGTCTGTGCGACTCTCCAAACCCATGCTTTGTCCCGTCCCACAATGGTTCTCCATCATCAACGCCCGTGCCTACTCCGACGCAAGTTCCGGTGTCAGGCATCGCAGTTATCATTGATGGGTTTTGGCGAGCTTGGTCCTTGTTGCCCGGATGGCAAACTCTCGACGGTGCCAAAGACATTGGCTGGGCTGAAGCCATTGGTTTCGAATTCCTGGTACTATATGTCCTTCGCCTTAAGCAAGGCTCACCCCACTCGCACTTTTGAGTCCACTGCAACAATCTCGGCGTCATCGACGGCTGGAAGAATGGGCGGAGCCGCAATTGGGCAACCAACTCAGTCTTTCACCGTATCCACGCCTTACTCGACGCTCAACCTCTTTCAACCTCCTTCCACATCTCCTACATGCCAAGCCACGAGAATCCCGCCAATGGCCCATCTCGTGGTGTCTTCCCTCCCCAACATCTCCTCCTTCCTCCCATCCCATTACCCGGTGATCTCTCCCGCTTTCTCATTGATGGCATCATCCACGACAGCAACGATAGACCTCGCAACCCTGTCACCAGAGACAATGGGACTGGGTGTCCCAGCCCAATGGATGACAGGCCAGAGGACTGGCACTTTGAGGATCAGCTCCTCGAGTTCCGTGACAACTGGTGCGACTAGCTTGTCCAAACTCTCGTCGCCTCAACCCATCTTACCTCGAAACCACTCTTCCGCCCACCCTCGACCTTATCGCATCAGTCTTGTCCCCTTACCTTCCACCTCTCGTCCTCACTGTCTCGCACAGGATCGTCTGCACCTTTGGACACCCAGCACGCGTCATTTGCATATCGATGACAATGGCTTCGAAGTCGCCATCTCCGACACAGATTTGGATCAGATTCTGGTTGTCATTGCGCATGCTCACGCACCCTGCAACCCAAGAATCATATGGTTCAGGGTTGCTGGTGTTCCATGTATTCTGTGACAATCGCAAGATCACAGATGCTCAACGTGCTCCCACGTCCTTGGTACTCTTGCTGGCGTTCATTGCGACGTGTGCAGGCTTGTACTCGGGAAAAACTCCAGAGAACTACATGTATGGGGTGCAGTGCTTGGCATCTCCTCCATGGTATGCCATGGGTTATTGACCAAGCCCAGATCTCCTCCAGCACTAGAAGGTGCCATACGCCTCGCACCTCCAGCATCCAAGCGGGCAAAATGTTATCCCTTTACCATCGACATTCTGTCTCGTATCCACGCTGCCCTCGAACTTGTCTTTACCGCTCGATGCTGCCTTTTTCGCTTGCCTGACCACCTCATTCTTCACCCTCGCACGCTTGGGGGAATTCACGGTCAAATCACTGAAAACCTTTGATCCCTCAATTCACGTCAAAGTCGATGACATCAAATTCAATCAGGATCGCAACGGATTCCGAGTCACCGTGTTTTGCCTGCCGTGGACAAAGACGTCCACGACAGGCGAAGATCTTTACTGCTGCTGGACAGTCTGGAGTAGTAGACCCACTAGAGGCCTTCCTGACTCACCTCAGAGTAAACACCCCTCCTCCATCTTCCGCCCTCTTCAGTTGGCGTCACTCGTCAGGTCTCCGACCTCTCACGCGCTCGGTATTCCTTCATCGATTGGAGTCAGTAACCACAGGTATGGAAAACAGGTCCACTAAAAGGACATGGGATTCACATTGGCGGAACGACAGAGTACTTACTGCATGGAGTACCATTCGACACCGTGAAAGCGATTGGGCGCTGGAGTAGTGATGCTTTCATGCTCTACCTCAGGAAGCATGCCGTCATCATGGCCCCTTATCTTCAAGATTCACCAGTGCTCAAGCCATTCATGCGCTATGCGATTCCGCAGACCTAACGTGTGAGTTTCGGATCTTCTCCTTAAATTTGGGGGCAAGCACGCGCTAGCTGCGTCGTTTAGCTCCTAACTCTAGGGAATCACTGCTCATACTTGCCCTTAGGTTCGAAGGCCTGTTTCAGTCGATAAAACCTCACTAGGTTTTCTGCCCAATCATGTAACACTACTAGTATTTGCGTTAGCGGATTGAGATGTTTGAAGCGGACAATAATAAAATATTTATCTTGCACCGCCTCGTCTGAATAAGCCTCGAAGATCAAATGCATAGACGAGCAATAAAGTACAATTGAAACTCAGCCGAGGCTGTCTTGATGCAATCTCGACGACGTCGTAATCTAATTGTAATCGAATCGTAATGCTGATCAAAATGACATTACGATACGGGAGCATTATAATGCCTCCTGGAAATTTCCGACACTTGAAGTTGCGGCATTGTTCGCAGAAGCTGTAGGCTTCTTCCTCGGCGCCATGAATGATAATTAATTGGAGATCAGAGCCGACGCAGATGTCACACAGACTGTCACTGGTTGTCACACAGACCGTCACTTGTTGCCACGCCACATACAGAAACTAACTGCAAAACAAACTGGGAAATAAACGCTGCTGTCCAGGCTCTAATGCGAATCTGTCAAGCACCTGCTTGCCGTAATCGTTCACAGCGAACGTTTGCCCTGACGATATGCAATGCCTTTCACTCGTGCAGAATATACGGATATTTCGAACCTGAACGCCCAATGCCCATTTCCGTGATACATTTATCACTTCCTCGTTGTCTCATTTCTGCCACCTTGGGAATGCTCGTCGCTGACCAAATCTACTGGTTCCACAAAATCTCACTCTCAGGGCCAGCCATTGCATAGATTTGACGTTGGCAACGAATTCTTCGACATTTTCCTGTGCGCCTTCTGTATAAATGATGCCTGGGTAGCCAACTTTGGCGAAACCAGAAATCGAAAGCTCAGACAACCGCCGCTGTAATTACCGCCGCTTTGTTGGAGATATAAGATGATGAGATGATAGGAACGCGTGGTAGTGTGCTGTCTCTGGGGGACGCTTGGTGTTCTGCTGTTCTAGGAAGTCCGTACTCCCTAACAGTCCTGTAACAATATCATGTCCGTCTTCGTGTAGTTTCGGCAGCAAGTGCATACATGACAACTGGTAGACCGGATAACTCGAAACAATTTAGCACTCCTCACACCATAGTCAGGAAGATGCGGCGGAAGTGCTCACTCATCTCCGTGCACTCCGTTAATTTCTCCTCGATCCAAGGAGCTTGTGCGCTGTCAATATCCGAATTCTCTGGGTATCATTCCAGGAACTGTACCTCGAAGAAGATCCGCGCGTCTGTAGCCCTTACTTGGAATCTGGCTTGCGGAACTGGGCTGGGCAGGGGGAGAACTGTGTTAGCAGTGTTGAAGGCGTGGAGTAGCGCGGTCCATATTCTAGAATTGTCTAGAGGGAGCACGAAACAGAATGATTCGCCGGGTAGGAGGGAGTGTTGGATCAGTTGGAGTTCTTGGAGCTGACTTTGTAGCATGGCCAGGAAGTCAATGGAACGGTTGGAGTGATTACACTGTCATCCACTCCAGCGCTGTCCTACTACTTAATTATGTGGTATTTGCCAGGTGCGCCCATTTCGTGGGAGTGCCAAACAAATTGGCATAACTGAGACCAAGGTATTCTTCAAGATTTTTTCGGTCAGATCGGCCATCGTGGCCCAACAACGGGTCCAACGTTAACCGGTGGACACGTAGCATATAACACCTGCCTGTGCATGTCTGGAAGTATATAAACTATGTTCAACCATTAAAAAGCCTCCCCCAGAGCTTCACCCAAGTAAGTTAGCAATACCACGTGGCCAATCCCTCATGTTGACAAACATACAGTTGACGTACAGAACAACGTGCGTACATCATAACCCCGATCAATAATTCATAGAGCCAACGCCTGGTAGGTGTGTTTGTACTGCACATTTTTTAATTTTTTATTATACTTATCAAATTTATTCATCGTCACCATTCAAGCTTGGGGTTTTATCAGTCCCGCCGAATGAGCTCTGTCAACACTTTGACATGTCTGGCATTTTCACCCGATGGCCAGAAAATTGCCAGCGGCACTGCTCGTTCGGGGGTGACCGTTACCGACATCTCGTCGGAGAGCAGGCACCAACTAGAAATGCTTGCAGACACCTACACACACGCCATTGCTGTAGCATGGTCTCCGGACGGAAAAAAAATCATGAGCGCGTCACTAGACCGCACGATGCGTTGTTGGAATGCTACTTCATCGCACGCTCTCGGACCACCCTTTGAAGGACACAAAGACGTGATCGTCGCTGCGGGATTTCTCCCTCACTCGCCTCACGCAATAAGCTTGTCAAAGGATGGAGAGCTACTCATATGGAACACAGGGAGCGGGGTGATAGCTCGGCAAGCAACAGTGTCAGACGATGATCAAACCTTGTTTGCGGTGGCTCTGTCCGTGGATGGCACTCTTCTTGTCACTAGCAATACAAAGGAGGGTATTGCTTGGGAGATACCCACGTGTGTGCGAATGGCAGATATTGCACTTCCAGATGTGCCATTACTTCAAGCCGCCATTATTCCGGATAGTCATCGCCGAGTAGTGCTCGTATTTGGCGACAAGTCTTTCTGGATATGGGACACAAACACTGGGACGTATGACGATGCACGTTTTGAGGGCCTCGATGAAGATGCAATCCCCTCTGCCGTGGCCGTTTCTCCTGATGGCAGATTTCTGGCACTGGGAATCGACGGCGATAACGATCACCCCACTCATTTCTATGATATGAAGGGTCACGAAATTGGCAACTTAAACGTCAGATGTACCGATCCTTTTGCATTTTCACCGGATGGCAAGTATTTTGCGGCCTCGAGTGTGCCCTCAGATTCTAAGGATGACTCCTACAAGCTAGTTATCCGTCCAGTGAAAGAGGCAAGGAAACTTCGACCACACGTTCAATCCTGGCTACTGACGAAGCGAACCAGATTCTTGATTTTAGTGCCGTTGCTCATGATATACAACAGGTTCCTGCAACGACTACCCCGAGAGACAAAGGAAAACAACGTTCACCAGGACTCAGCCCAGGCTTTTTCGATACATTGCCACATAGCTCTGTCGGTGCAAAGGGCAGCGCTGTGAGATGTCCTAAACTCGAACTCAAGTACACGCTAATGGATTCCTTAGACGCAAAATAGACCTGGACCCTCCTCAAAGCTCTGCTCACCAGCAGGCCCCCCCAAGGTCTGACAGTCAGACACGGCGTATTCTACCTCTTAGCAACATTTGGAAGCGCATTCGTCACCCTCGATCTCACAAGGCAAGGTCCACCCAACAAGCCGAGGTACCAACTGCACAAGCTCTAAGGGTACGTGCAATGTCTCCATGCTCAACGATGCATCTCAGGAATTTTTCCAGAGGACTGTAGTTTCACCTCCACGCCAGAAACCGTCCGCTCAGAAGAACTCGGGCCGGTCTTCTGGTGATTCCAGAGCAAAGTCCCATTTGCATTCAGCGTCGACAGGGGAAACCTCAACTCAGCCTTCTAGTGAGACCGGGCAGAGATCCGCGGCTTTACCATTGCGCCAGATAATATCAGTTCAGGAAGACCCGGCGGAGTCTTCTAGTCAGGCCAGACAACGAGGGCACGACCAAGGCCCTAACGATAGAGAGGACTTGGAGAGCGATGATGGTATTGTTTATAGGACCCGGGATACCGAGAGCGTCGAAACGCATGGATGCTGGAATACCTTCTGGAAGTGGTTTTGCTACAAGGGCGAGTTTCTTAATATCTCTAGTTGACACATTCAATTGACACATCGCATCAGCTTTCTGACATTGATCATCTCCTAAAACTATGTTCTATATGGAAAGTATGGGATACTCTATGTTAACATGTTCTCCGACTCTATTCTTATTGCGCAGGTCGCGTCAATGCCACATGTTTTATATGATTTGCCTAGGCTCTGACGACGTTTGTCATCGGGTCGAGTAACGAACGCTATGGTTGCTGCTGTGAGGTTAGCAGACCTTGGGTAAGTTGAGTTCAAGGCTAACATACTTATGTTGGTATCTACTGCTTCTCGTGTCTTTACTTAGCCCATTCTCTCGAACCCTGCCCATGAGGCGTCATCTCCGAGGCTGGCGTCACTGTGTCCCCCTTCAATTCCCTCGGGGAGGTCTCCAGCGACGACGGGGAGGTCTCCAGCGACGACGGGCACCACTCGGGCTGCTCGTTCAAGTACTTTGACTGCGGTAGTCACAACTTCACCTCCAGCTTCGCTACCATCGTTAATATTCAAAAGGTAGTGTATAGAGGAATGTGGGTCAATGATTTTTCAGAAGTCATCGACACGTAGTGGAAAACGAGGAAAACGATAACCCGAATGTCCAAGAAATCGTGCGATCAAATGTTATTGGCTTGCACAAAAAATAGCTCTGATACCCTTATCCTGTCGCGGAAAACGCGCAAACCGAGGCCTAGGGTACAGTGATACAGCAGCGTTTGCGTTTGCAAATTTCCTGCAACACAACAACGCAACATTTCGAAAATCGCCTTGGGCGATGAACTTAATTATACATAAACTTCGTAGTCTCAAATTTTGAAGCACATCAGATAAGTCGTTGTTGCACGATGAATGTTCACTATAGAATTCGAGCCCTTATCACCTGCTCACCGTCATTTGCATCGACTCGAAAATGGTAAATGAACTTCTGCGATCAGTTCTCATTACCAAATTACTAATCGATGACAGATAGGCTCAATGCCTAACAGTGGTCCTCGCCTGCATGGCACGAGCAATGGCTCGTTCTTGCTCCTCACGTGCGAGCTTTTCCCCCCCTGGAGATGGACTGTGCATGCTTGGCCATGGTGAGATGTAACTGAAGTTGATTGAAAGGCATTCTCATTCATTGTGCCAGTTAACAGACTTGCGAATTTGAGTCGCACGCAGTGTACCATTACATAATGAAGCACGACCGTGACAGTACTGATCGTCGATCGCGAAATCTATCACACCCGCTTATTAGTTGATTAGACTCTCGACACATCCTCGACCGGCATTGCTCTGGCAATGCACTCGCTCATTTGATCACCTGCGGAATACAATGGTATTGTGTATAGAGATTATATACATCAGTTTCAAACAAAACATCCTACTTTCGTACCTATCAATGCTGCTAATAGCGTGTTTTTGCTAAGAATTTCATCAAACAGGAAAGGAAATTTTGCCTACGTGTGCGCAAACTGGGCCTTCATATTATATATATACTTAGCAAAAACACTCTAATACATCATAGTCCTGTATGAAACCTAATATATCATCCACTAAAAAGTTTGATGAAAAAGTGGAGTGTCGTGCGACACAAACGCAAACCTGCCGAACAGGACGGGGTCTCAGATCTCAGTCATCCCTTTCCGTCAGCTGCGATGAGTGATCGATTGATCAGCGCTCACCAATCCGCCGGATCAGAACTCATAATGAGGACAAAGGTTCAACGCCAACAGATCGATCGGAAGAATCCTGAAGGCATTGTGATATAGTGCGCAGTTTAAGTTTTAGAAATCAATTCAGTTCACCTGAGACTATATACCAAACAGGGAATCATTGTCAAGGGCAGCTCAATTCTAAAAGTTCGAGTTCACTTGGATTCAAGCACCGCTAAGCGTCACCAAACCTTGTCCTAAACGGGACTTGTACCTAAACCTTACGGCGCGCAGCGCCAACACTTGGTGTATACAAGCAGTCTTACAGCACATCCCAAACCTCACTAAACCTTGTCATTTACATTTCTAACCCTCGTCAGGCCTAACCCTGACATTCCTAAACCTTTTTCTAACTCTTTTCATAGAGTACATCATATGTAGTATGTTCGTGAATATAATATAATCATTTCTCACTCAAAAATGGGCACTTGATTGTACATTGCTACTTAACAAGGCTGAGATAAGGGTCAGGTCTGCTGAGGGTTAGGAATGACGACGTTTAGGAGTCTTGCTGAGGTTTAGGACGTACTTTCAGACTGCTTGCAGATAATTTACTACACCAAGTGTTAGCGCTACGCACCGTAAGGTTTAGGTACAAGTCCTGTTTAGGACAAGGTTTGGCGACGGTTAGTGGTGCTCGGATCCCAACTGAACGCGAACTTTTAGAATTGAGCAGCCCTTCAGGGATCGTAAAACGATAGTTTTTCGACGGGTCCAAACATTGATGCTGGTAGCAGCTGAATTAATTGACAAGAAGTAAATTACCTCGAAGAATAAGATCCGCACCACCCCGAAGACCAGGTTACAAGTATTACCGAGATCTTTTCTCACCGAATGACGCTACCACGGCATAGATATCTACCCGCTACGCTTGGCGAGTTGTCAGCATGTATAGCCAGACAAAAACCTGTGGTTCATTCGCAGGGCGTCCGCCGGCGACGCCGTGAATATAAAATTATAAATGCAGCACAACTAACGCGCAGTATTGACGTCACAGGCGCAAATGAATGACCTGTGTATGATGCTGCTGCGTTGACGTCACCGTCGTAGAGAGGCGCAAACGGGTAAAAATGAATGACCTGTGTGTGAGATCACTATGCAATTCCGTCCAAGACAAGTCCAAGATGTATTTTCCATGCGGTAAATCTGGAGGAAGTTTTTCACGGTCCTCTCCTGTAGTCCGTCATCTCCCACATATTATCTTCCCCAAGTGCTCTCCTTCTTCTTGAGCTGGCAGTATCAGTCGTTGAACCAGATAGAACCATGAGGTTCCATAGGTCAGATAATGAACGAAGCAGGGGTGTTCCCATGCATGATGACAGGAAACACCATCCTAGACCTGCGAAGCTGTTTGAACGAGAACTTGAGTGGGTATAGGACACACAGAATCTGAAAAAACACACATAAGGATGGCAAGAATCAGGAGCAAGGACATCAATGACGAGTCGTAGTCTGTGTCCACCATGGGCTGGCGGTTAACCAGTCCAGTGTTGTCGACGACTACGGAAAAAACGGCGTTACGTAAGCGAACCAAGAGTTTGCGGCCGCCTTATAAAGCTTGTGTTGTCTGATAATAGGATGTGCTTACTTGCAAGGATTCATCTCCACAGCATTTTCTCACCAGACGGCCGATCGAAGCACCGCAGACTGCCGCATATATATGTATCCACTGACTCTGAGGAGCTTTCAGACGCCTACACATCTTGACCATATACCTGCTAGCTAGAGGTTCGTACAACACTCGTTGTATAGTGTTGGTCGAACACTTACTTTGGTTTCTTAATTGGCTATCTAATAGGACGGCCACATCATCGGATATCACCTACGCAAATTTTGCAAGAGCATCGAGCGTTGAATCTTTGAAGATGTCTCATCCAAATTCAACGTCAGTGAGCCTGAGGCAAGTACAAGAGGTGAACTTTTCATCCGCATGTGCCTCTCAACAGCCTACTCAGTGTCATATTATAGACCTCCATTACACCAGTACCAAGGCGGGGCGAAGATATCGAGGTCGCGCCAAGACTGCAAGATCTTCCCGACCCATACATGATTCGGGCCGGTCTCAAGACAGACGACGAGCTTTCTCAACTTCGTAGTCGTCGTAGGACTGGTAAACGACTCGAAAGGTTTCACAGAAAGCAGAATGATGTGGGTCTATCTCTTATATCATATTATTTCCATCTCGTGCTGAGGGGTAAATGATCAGCTCATCCACTCATTGCTGAAGCCCATGGAAGAGCATACAGAGGAGGCAAGAAAAGATGAAGAAGACAATCGTTTACCTGTAAGGGAGTTCTATGTACCACCCATTACTACTAAAACAAAACAACACATTCAGGTCAGGATTGCGGTGTGGGCAAGTCTTGTTGCCAACTTCATTCTCTGTGTACTTCAGCGTACGTCTTGGAGGCTTTTCTATATTGCTTTCGCAACTTATTCCACCCATTAGTATATGCTGCTGTGTCCTCAGTCTCTCTGTCCCTCATCGCTACAGGGATTGACGCCACTTTCGATTTTGGAAGTAACATCTTCCTATACTGGACTCACAAGAAAGCACTGTCAATGGACATTAACAAATGGCCTGTTGGTGGTTCTCGACTTGAAACGATCGGAAATGTTGTCTACGGTAATTATCTCATTCACCCACTGCGGGGCAATAATCTCATCTTCTTTTAGGTTCCATGTTTGTCCAGTTCTCAGTTCTTTGGTGCCTGATTGACATTCTCGCAGCATGGCGTCGGTCAACTTGGTTGTTATCGTTGAATCCATCCGTGCACTCATGTCTCAAGAAAAGGACAACGGCTTCCACCTCCAGGCCATCATAGCAGTTGCAGCTGCGCTGGGTACGCAGTCTGCATTAAGACCCTTCGTAATTATCTAATAAATTCAAATAGCCGTCAAGTTTGCCCTTTTCTTGTATTGTTTGGCCCTACGATCAAAGTCTAGCCAGGTGCATGTCTTGTGGGAGGATCATCGAAACGATCTTTTCATCAATGGATTCGGTAGGCCAACTCTCTGTTTCAAGCAGTTTGGCACCCTGAAGTAATACTCGCAAGGTATTCTGATGTCTGCTGGAGGAAGTAAATTGCAATGGTGTTCGTGACCTCAGCTTTTGCATTCTTTGTAATTTTACATGTCATACAGGGTTGGACCCTGCTGGTGCTATCCTCGTGCGTTTCATTCACGTATCGCACGGCTTTTCTGTTCATACGATTGCTCGGACAGATTGGTGCTGGGGTTATATTTGCTTGGAGTCACACGATCTATGAGCAATTTGGCTTCCTTGCCGGGAAGTCTGCACCACACGACTTCCTGCAACTCATCATCTACAAAGCCATGACCTTCAGCGACGAAATCGAGAAAATCGATACTGTACGGGCTTACCACGTGAGTGTTCAATTCCATCGCTTATGATTGCATATTGATTTAATTCGATGACGCAGAGCGGACCCGTTCGTGCCATTCTTATCGTTAGATGTGCTTCATCGATGACAGTGTTTACTAGGATTATGTCGTCGAGGTGGACATCGTCATGGACGCTACTACCCCGTTGTGGAAAGCACATGATATTAGCCAGCAGCTGCAGGATAAGATCGAGGTGCTTCCGAATGTCGAGCGTGCCTTTGTGCACGTCGATCACGAGACGACCCATGCCCCTGTAAGTAACGTTCAAGCCACCATCCTTCACTTTACTCACGCCATGGACAGGAACACCGAAAGATGATATAGGCAGAAGGCAACTCAATGGAATGAGCCATCTCGAATCATTCTTCGTGGGATTAGCTATTAGTATATCTATGAGAAGGCGATGTCTCGTTTACCGGATACCCTTGCCTATTTACAAGGCGACAAGATTATGGACTGCTTGCTGTCGCTGTACTCGTGTAATCGCACTGCTCTAGGCCTCCTCCCCACTGCCGTCTCCTTATATAGCGGCCTGGGTAACTGCTAATCGAACTTCATAATTGGAAGACGAACTGAGTGCTCATCACCGGCATTGCACATTCCCTGGCATCTTGCGCGTATAGCTTGTCCGCATCACGCGGACAGGTAGATAGGCACGTCAACGCAGCGAGCAGGTGAATTTCAACAGTTGCGCATCATATTTTACGTGCTAGCTTACAAGTAGGTTATTCTCAGACATATGGTGCCTCCTGCTTAATACGAGGGAAATCGACTGTTTTCTTGAGGACATCATTGTAGTATATCCTATATTCATCTTCCACAAAAAGGGTGTAGAACTGAACGATACCCCAACCAGGCCCCAAAAAGTTGGGATTGCTGCGGCAGAGCTCCGGGACATGAAGGAGTTTAAGCTGTAGAATATCCTTGACACGAGCACCGTCTGAGTTGATAAACTCCAAGAAGTAAAAATCGTCATCAGGCATTACCATGACACGACCGGTAATCCCCTCGGTGACTGATAACCATACTCTGTCAACGAGTCAGCAATTACCACATCTCGTCCATTGAAGATTACCTGCATCCATATCAATGACAGTCGAGTCATCGTTTTGTTGTGTTGATAGATCTATCCCTGAATAATGCAGAAGGAGTTTGGGAGATTGCAACAACGTCATTTGCCTGTGCTGTGTTGTTCTGTATCCGCGAGAAACGGTCGGTGTACATGAGGCAAGCTATGATGATGCTGACGACGATGCGAGGATTGGAGAACTGCCATCCTCGGAGCGGCGACATGGTAAGGAGTGAGCTGGTTTGAAGCCCCTTTCACAAAGTGAGGTTTAATGGCTGAGCCGACCTAAGGAGGTTTTCTGCGCCATAGCCAAGCAGGTCGTACCGCACATTATGGCCAAGTATTTTCATTGAAACTGGCTTACCATACCAACCAAAATGCTCGTCTGTGTGTAACCTTGTGTAACATAAGTACTAACTTTATACGGAGGGTAATGCTCTCGCAATCAGATTAATCAAGGCTGCCTACCGAGTTTGCCGAGAAGCACAGCTTTTTGCTGGGTCCACACTTGTGACTTGATTTAAGCGTTTTACCTAGAGAGTCTGGATTTAGCATCGACTCTCTACCCATGCTCACCTCGCGAAACCCGCACCTTCTCGACGAGGTAGGTCGCGGCTACTTTACGCAGGCTGCAGCAACAGCGGGAGTGTTTCCCTCACCCGTACACACGTGCGTCTCGCAGGACAATACCGTACAACCTGTTCCAAGCCCATTTCACCTCTTCATCTGTCGAATCCAATAGTGTTTAAGAACGTGGATGGGCTCCTCGGGGTCTTGCATACGATAGATAACAGATTGTCTCATTAATGATGATAGGCTCGGACCTCAAAGTTAATGATGTCTAGGAACCGAGAACGTTCAGAAGAGCTGAGCTGCTGCCACTTCCTCGTGGGCACGTAAGTACTTCGGCTGCGTTCATAAGTGATCGATAGATGTTATTGCCGAAGACGGCATATTGGGACGGCGTATGTAGTTCTAACTAGTACTGGTCATGCGCCATAGAGTTTTGACAATTCCCGTCCAACGAAGCTATTCTATCTCGGATCTTCACCATGAAGTTCCTGACCATCTTGGAACTTGTTTACAGCACCCTTGTCGCATTTCATGGTACCGAATTCTAGAGAAACGTTGTGAGTGTTCCGGTCTAGATGTTCCTTGCGTTGTGCAGTTACTTACAGAATGACGTAGTCCTTATTTTTTCCAACATAATATATGAGGTGATTCTCGGTCTGCCCATACAAGACGAGTCATATTCGACACATTCAATCTTCAATACCACTTGCTCTTACCATAGATCGAGGGAGACATGCTAAACTACTGGGGTCGAAACATCGCTGAAGATTATCACGGTGTTCTCCTCAAAATGCTTTCCTATCACCTCACACTCCCGCAGCTACCTGCGCTCCCAGGGGATGGTCACGGCGAGACGGGTACAGTAGGAATTTTTGGCGCAGGAATTGATGGTCTATATACCGCCCTCATGCTAGACGCGCTGGGCATCCAGTACGAGATCTTGGAGGCGTCGAACCGCACCGGCGGCCGCCTCTTCACCCTACCGTTTCACGGATATTAAAGAATACGATTACTACGTATGTCACTCATTCGATGCTGCTGCGCCGAAGATGCTCTCCTTGTAACCTCTTGGCTTTTCCGCCAATTAGGATTTTGGTGTCATGAGGTACCCCCTGCCGAAGGACGATCAAGGCAATTACAAGACCGGCGTTATGAAGCACTTGGGCCAGGTAATCGACTACTCGAAGCTCAACGTTCGACGGCAATCATTTCAGTGAACTTCTAAAAAAAAATCCAAATTTGTCAATTACTACTACGCGGCAAAGGCAGGAGTACTTTCATGTATTTTCAACAATCAATGTTACCGAATCACTGGTACATTGCACCCTCCTGACTTTCACGCCCGGGAAATGAGAATGGAGTCTGAGTGCCCCAACGTGGGGGTTGACAAGATTATCGCCGACGTCGTTATGCCATTCACCCGCCTGCTCATGAAGGACTTAGAGCAGCATACCGAAAGGGACTGGGAAGTCATGAGAAAGAAATCTCGCTCCGCGCATAAGCACATGTTATTCAAGTATGTCCCCAGTGTTAGCCTCGACCTTGCGCCCATGCATCTTACCACTAACTTATCAACTGGTGTGTGACTGCGGTTTAACTGAAACAATTCTCAAGGCGCTGGCATCCGCCAAGGTCGGGTCGCAGACCTCTTGAGGCGTAGATTGGACGTGTCTTAGGTAAGTCTATGTGCTATCTCTGAGCTCGTTCCCATTCTTCCCGTGGCCAGGGGCGGTTCTCAAGTGCCTACCAACTGCATGACGTAATGCTCAAGGCACCAATCCTCTAATCCAGTTCAACAAGAGCGTTGCGAGGATCTCTCAAGTCGGTACTAGCGGCATGACGGTTTCTGTACGGGGCGAATCTAGCCCGCGCACATATTCAGACGTTATATCGACTATCCCTCTGCCGGGCCTGCAGACGATTGATCTTTCCGGTGCTGGTTTCGACTTAATGCAGAGAAATGCGTTGCATAAGCTGCAGTACGGTCCTTCGACCAAGGTTGGTATCCGCTTCGAAATGGCGTGATGGACGGACCGTTTCGGTATTTTAGGAGGTCAGTCATTCACTGAACTTCCCATTCGAATTATTGTTTACCCCCTTACGGAGTTGATTCTAATTTACCGTCCACGGTGCTTATCGCGAGCTACTGTTGGACAAATGACGCAGAACGCTTGGGATTACTCATCAACACCGGTAAAACAGAGTCCAACGAGCAACTGAAGGAACTCGTGCTGCCCAATCTCGCAGAACTGCACAACCTCACAATTTCTTGTCGGGTCAGCATGTGGACATATTTGCATAGGACTGGAACCACGACCCGCTCACCATAGGTGAGTCTGAATATTGATGTAAGCCAATCGCTGCTCCCTCTCTCTACTACAGGTGCCTTTGCGTTCTTCGGGCCTGGAGGGTTCATACACCTCTCACTGTACCAAATGCCAACAAGAGGTTGCATATCGCTGGAGAGGCCGTCAGCACCCGTCATTCGTGAGTGAAATGCAGTTTGGTCTTTTCGATGATTACAATTCAATGGCGATGTAACCTGCAGGTGGGTCGTCGGTGCGATGGATAGCGCATGGCATGCGGTGTACCAATTCCTCGCTTCCGAATTGGCTTACTAGTCCACTATTGACAAGTTCTTCGAGCTGCGGGGCTCGAAAATTGAGTGGGCAACCTCATCATCTAACTCTGCCAATAATGAGATATTGGTGAAGGGCTTGGGGACCATCTCCAGTGTCGACGGGGTCCACCGGAGAAAAGCCGCCGTAAGAGAGTTTAAGCTGCGGGGCATCTACGACGCGAGGGAAAGTACCGTTTGACTTGAAAAACTCCAAGACGTAGAACTCGCTGGAATCCTGAGGTCTTACACGACCAGTGATCCCCTCGATGACTGAGAATTCCACGTCACTATCTAAAGTCTGTCAACGAGTCAGCAATATTGTCACATGGCAATCATTGAACATCTACAAATATTTGATGAATAACGCAGAAAGAATTTGGCAGATTACGACGAAGTCATTTGCCTGAGCTGTGTTATATCGTGTGTACGAGGGACAGCATATGGGCACGAGGTCAAGTTGCGAATATGCCGATGATGCGAGGATTGGAGAACTATCATCCTGGCGTTGCACGCGACCCTATCACGCTGCGCTAGAGCCAGTTAGCGGATCTCTTCTAACACAGGGAGTTCGTGTTGACAGTAAAATGTATATAATTTAGTAATCAAAAGGAGGATGATTGGCATGTTCAATAGAATACTAACCTATGAGCGTTGAGATAGCCGGCTTCTGTGGACGAGAAGGCAATGGTATTTTGTAAGAATCATAGAGACACCTGCACGACCGTATCATTTGTGGAATCCTCATGAACAGCGCTCATATGGTCAACATTCAGATACTTTATCAGGCGGTGCTACATCCGACACCAGCTTCAGATGGCGTCACATGCATTCCAGATTCGATTCATGAAACCTCTTTATCATCTAGTCCCTCTGATATCGTGTTCTTCTCGGGAGGATCGGTAAGAAGCTGAATGCGAATTACCCGTGTTGTAATTGTTCGGTCATCGTGAAGGTCCTGGGATCACAGCTGCGTCATCCAGGTGTCTTTTCGATCGAATACATGTCCAGTCCAATCTGGCGCTGCAGCGGGTGCTTCTTGAAGCCAACCAAACCGTCTGACCCGAGTGCAATTTTTACATATGCTACAATACCATCAAGTGCGGTTTTTTGTTCGAAGTGCAATCTGCTGAATTTATCGAGCGGGGTGGGCAGTTCTGGCGAGGGAGCTAGTGTGCGGCATCAGGTTCTTCAGCTTGTGTGAGCCTAGATAAGACAACAAAGCCGTGTCGCAAGGTTCCTTGGAGCCTCATTCAATTAGGCTGTATGCAAGCACTGGCAACGACTCGGAAAAAGGAAATGAAGTAACAGGTCGAGGCCACGGCTTACTATAGTATGGAAAGCGTACGTCGTAACAGGTCCACACAGGTGGCGAAGGACAGCGGGAGAGGTCTCCATTTGAGGAATACGTCGGTACTCCCGCAGTACTAAACTGGGAGACATCGAAGTCTCCTTGTGAGATTGGATTGACGCGTATGACCTATTAGAGAGGCACGGAGTCAAGAATTCAGGCCCAGGACCAATGAATGACTGTGAACAAAGACACGTAGTAACACCTGTAAAAATCACTGGAAAAGAGTCATTCAACGTACAGGAAAACAGTAGCGAGACCATACTTATGGGTAGCGTAGTAAAAGAAGCCTTTGTGGCTTTGTGCGGCTGCAGTCCTGGGCCTGCCACCACCGTCAAGATAAAATAAGGCACCTTCAACCAACCTCTCCGCAACTGACACTTGAGACTTTCCCTCCTGATACCCTCCCTTCAAAGCAACTTCGATACCAGATACCAGCTCCAACCGATCACTTGATATACCAGAGTCATCCCCGAAGATCCTTCAATTCCAAATATTCGAAACCAATTTACTCAGTGGGAGTGCGATAAATGATGGTGAGCATGAGGAAGATGTCGGCGAGAAGTTAATTCATGAGAGACTACCAGGATGCTTGCAATCAAGACCCGGAAGAGTTATATGTGAAACAAGACAAAATCGGTGCGCATCAGGTTCTGTTCCTCATCGCAGCGAACTGACCGTCTGCGCCAGGGAAGGGATCTTTTGGAGAAGTCTACAAAGGGTCTGCTATCACAATGCTAACCCGCCAGCGGTCCCCCTCATGCGTTATTTAGATATGACAAGCGAACAATGAAGACAGTCGCCATCAAGATCATAGACCTTGAAAGCGCAGAAGATGAGATAGAGGACATTCAACAAGAAATACAGATTTTATCACAGTTAGACTCACCACACGTCACCAAGTTCGTACCTTCCATTGCCGTCCTACTCTTGTCTGGATTCGATGAGATTAACATGCAGCACTTTTGTACGCAAGATACCATGGATCCTTCCTCAAGGGTTCTAACCTATGGATAGTCATGGAGTGCGTTCATTAATTCCGTTCCATTCTCATTCCCTGATGGATATATAGGTACTGCTCGGGTGGCTCATGCTCTGATTTGGTATGATCGCAACTAAGCCTAGTAACTTGGGGCTCATTTCACATTACACAAGATGAAACCCGGCGTATTTCGAGAAGAGTACATCGCAATCATCGTCCGAGAGCTTCTCCGCGGACTTGATTATCTGCACACAGAGGGAAAGCTGCATCGGGACATCAAAGGTCATTACACCCCGCTCCTGATTCATCTGTCGCTTATTTCATATCGTGCACAGCTGCCAACATACTGCTTTCCGCAACAGGCGATGTCAAGCTTGCCGACTTTGGTGTGTCTGGGCAGCTATCTGGAACTCTGTCCGCCAAGAAGAACACTTTTGTGGGCACGCCATACTGGATGTCGCCTGAGGTAATCAAGCAGAGTGGTTATGACCACAAAGCGGATATATGGAGCTTGGGTATAACTGCAATTGAGCTGGCCAAGGGCGAGCCACCGTACGCGGAGCTCCATCCGATGAAGGTAAGCGGGACCGGGCGGCTCCCAGATTCAGTGACGTCTCTGACACGTCACGACACAGGTACTATTCCTTATACCCAAGAACCCCCCGCCGCAGCTGGACGGTCACTTCTCCAAACCATTTCGGGACTTTGTTGCGTATTGTTTACAACGAGATCCCCGCGATGTTAGTCTCTCCATTCCTTGCGTTCATTTATATCACCGTGACTGAGATTGACAAATATAACACAGCGCCCGACGGCACGCGAGCTGTTGAAACACAAGTTTGTTCGCATGTCAAAGAAGGCTAGTTACCTCACAGAACTGATCGAGAGGCACGAGCGATGGAAGGCTGAGGGTGGAGATCGCGCGGAGGAAGAGGAACAAGTAGTTAATCAGGAATTGTAGGTCATTCCTATCTTTATTGACATCTTCTAATGTATCTTTTCTAGACCCGCAAACGCCGACCTAGAAGATCTCTGGGACTTTGGTACTGTCCGACACACAGGGCGGCCGGGGACGATCGGGCGTGCACAGAACTCGATCAAGGTCTCTGGTCCTCCCCTCACATGGGAAATGAACGGAACTTCTCGCGAGACATCAACATCGTCTTCCATCACAGCAAAGAGGGCGTCCGGATCATCAGTAAGGTCCAAGACGGAGCTGCCGCCGTTGCCTTCGTCCTCACCAACGCTGCCATCGTCACCACCATCCGTACAAGCACCAACCGTATATGAGCAGGCTACCGTAAGGCACATGCCGAGTGGGGGCCCCAGCAACGACAAACAAACGGGTCACGAGCGAGAGCCTTCGGATGAGGATTATGGTGATCAATATCTGGATACGTATCCCAGAGGTGCTACTCTTCACCAGAAACCGGATGAGCCGGAGGACGATGAGTTGCCTGATACCACTATGCTTGATTCTGTGATATTACCTGCAATAGCTTCGGTAAGGGTACCGTGTTCCTATCGAGAGACTGCACTAATCAGCGCGTTAAGTTGTTCCCTCGAGTATCGACACAGGAAGCGCGAGTCGCGCTAAGCGCCCTACAGCGGGCCTTTACAGAGGCTGAGCGCATCATTCCAGGCATGACTATGGAACTCGTGAATGAAATTGTGGACTCTGTGGAGCGAGTAGAAGATCACTAGCAGTAGGCTACTGTACCATCAATATCTTTGGTTTGCAGTCTTAATTTCTTCCTTGCTTTCATCGCTGTTTAGGACACTCTCGCTCCACGAACACGAACATTCATGCCTACCCCCACACACGCATTCACCCCCATCTTACCATACCATCTTGCCTGTATATCGTGTAGTTCTTATTAGTATGAATGAAGAGTGCGGAGTGTCAAGGAATATCAATGTATTGATTGATCGTTGTAAAGAAGTTCATTAACTGTGAGTTGGAGTCGGTGTGAGATAGATGCAATGTAGAGTGTCCAGTGTAGATACCGACGACGGGGACATGAAAGGCAACGCGGAACCGCCCAGAACGGCGGGAGAATAAATAGATGAGCAACAGAGAAACGAAGAAAACAGGAAAAAGGAGGCAAAGGAGCGGGGTGCCAGGTGCAGTGGATACGGATGAGATGGCGGGGCCCAGACTCGGAAGCGATGCATGAAGGGTGGAGAGTTGGTCAAGGCAGTCCCGGTGTTAATAAGGAAGGGTGTACGACGAGGGTTCTTGAACTATGGCATGGTGCTAAACCATACGGATCACCCTGGTTCAAGAACCTCCAAGTATTAATGCATGAGATGACGGCCTTTCCTTGCAAGAAATAGACAATTTGGATTCGCTCGATCGAAATGCCCGGTTCTTGCGAAGATGATCTGAAATTCTCGGAAGCGCCCCCAGTGCACTGGGTCTTTATACGGAGACGATGAGGGGAAATCCGCATTCAAGGCGGGGATATCCTCCCCTTCTTTTCTCCGTTATCGCCGCGGAACCACCGGGAACGGTCGGACAGGGGGAAACGAAGAAGACTGGGAAAAGCAGGAAAAACACTTGGGACCGCGGGGACAGGGAGGGGCAGTGGACACAAACCGATGGGCCCAGAAGCTCGACATGAAGGGAGGCGAGTTGGTCAAGGCGGCGCCAATATTAATCACGAAGGACGTACCAGGAGGGTTCTACTTTACATGAATTGGACTGAAGTTAACAACAACTTCATAGTCTTTTATATGTGAGTGTGATGACGAATTCAGACACGATTCAATTTTGTACTTGAAGGTCTTCTTGAAGCTTTGACATTCCAGAGTCCTATCGTCAGACTGAGCCAATCATCTTCCCTCGAGTATCGACACAGGAAGCGAGCTCGAGCCACACTGAAGCCCATCATTCCAGGTGTGATTATGAGACCATGGGCTCCGTGGGGCGAGTAGAGGATGATTAGCAGAAGGTTACTGTACCACTGACATGCGTTCTTGTCTCTTCGTCGTTGCATTCTTATGACACATCAACACTCTCACCTCCGACACGAACATTCAGCTTACCCTCGCACACACGTACATCATATAGCTCTTCATAGTATAGATGTGAGGCGTGGAGCACCAAGGGATATCAATGTACTGCTGCGCCATTGTCATCCGCCTTCGTCTCTGGCTTCACCGTCCGTTTCTTCTTCGTTGTGCCTGTTCCCTTCTTCTTGGCACGCGTGACTTTGATGGGTTCTGGAGTGCTCATGCGGAGTTCGTCATCAGGAACTTCATATGATTGGAAAGAAGGTAGGGAAGGCGGGGGCGTCCCGGTGAGGTCAAATGAATTTGGAGTTGGGCGCCGCAATGGCACGGGAGTTGACGATCGCGGCGTGACAACAACGCCCGCAGGCATTTCGCCTTCTCTTTCGACGACAAATGGTGGAGGCGTGGATCGTATTGACGCGCTGCTTCTCAGACCGGGAAGGCGAGGTTCCTCTACACAAGATCGTCAGTCTTCTTCGTGTGCGTGGAGAGGAAATGTACCTTTTGGCAGTGGCAAGGGACCGTCTAGTCGGACAACGGGTATTGAATCGACATCTTCGGCAGGAGGCTTGGGTTGATCGTCCATGATGTAGTATGGGTCATCCCGCATTCGTTCTAGCCGCTCCGCCTTGAGCTGTTGGACGTTAGATTGAGTCCAAGTAATGCGGAGCTTATGGCGAAGGCCTACCCTCTCTCGCTCAGCTTTCTCTTCTGGAGTCTCCTCTTCTTGCGGCGCAAGCTCCTCCTGGTAGCCCCCCTCCTTCTGCTTCTTCTTTCCGCCTTTGACTTTTGTCCTGCTTGCGGACTCCTTCTCCTTCCCTTTCTTACTTCTCTTGGTCTTCCGCTCAGTCACTTCACCGTCATCACCCTCTTCCGCGACACGCTCTTGCATCGACGGCACAATCCACATGTTCAGGTCAAGTCCGTCAGGAATTGGCACGCTGGCTTGCGCGATAGATGCAACAGGATTGAGCTCGTGCGATGAGAAGAGCGGCTCGATGAGGTAAAGGCTCTTTGGGAAACTGGGTTCTGAAACGGGATCGAAGGCGGCTGCGCTCGGATCTGAGAAACCAGTTTCCTGCTTTGGTTTGTACATTGCTACATCGCGCTTGATGAAGGTGAGCAACTGAAGAAGGTTCGCAGCCTACAAAAAACGATTAATCCGTGGACCCCTGATGGTGGTAATCGTCATGATTCACTCACGCGTTCTTGGACTTCGATCTGCGTGCTCGATGCAAATTGTTCCATCTGTTCAATCATGATATCGACAGCTCTCTTGAGGTCCTCGAGGAAGCTCTCTGTCCACTGCTTTGCCGCTTCGGAAGCCCAGTATCCGAAGAGTTTCGTGGCGGATTGAATACACACGGCGGTGATGTCAGGGCTGAGAGATGCAGTCTCTGGCTGGAGCAGATATGGAATAAGTTCGTCTGGCGCAGAAAGTTCGCTGTAGCACAATCGTTCAGTATTTCAGAAAGGAGTGAATTCTTAGAACGCACCTGCAGTACTCCCCGCATATCCAAGCCGCTGCCCATAGTACCTCGGAACAACTACCCGGCTCACCAGCATGCAGCAAAAATGTATCATCAGACAATACCTTCACCATCAATTTAACGGCGTAGCTCCTAGCCGCTCTGACGCGTCCGACAACGTCTACTAATTGGTCGCGAATTTGCACGCCAATGTCGACGTTCGATACGTATGCGAGGTCAACCAGGACTGAGAGATACCATTCGAAATCGGCAACGTTGTCGTAGGTGTTTTGAGAGCACATTGTCATGATCCTTTGTGAGAGGACAAGACGGTAGGCGGTGGACTGAGATGGTGCATTCAGTGACTTTGCAGGCGTAGAGGGGACAATATGCTGAGACAGGGATTGCACTGCAGAAGGAACGGCGGAGGATTCAGGCTTGACGAGATGCGACAGCACCTGCTGCACGATCGATTGGAGATTGTCTCGATTGACCTGCGCAATTTGAATTAGACAGCAAGAAGAAAGTGTCATGGTAACTTACGAGTGCTGAAAGAAGATCTAGCGCACGCATACGGATGCTGATATCTTCATCATCGACACTTGAGAGGATTGTATTTTGGTGCTCTGCGACCAAGTGGGGGTGCGTGGGTACGATCTTCACCATGGCGAGCAAGGCGATGTACTTCACTGTAGTTGGGTTAGTTACCCGTCGGAAGAACAAAATAAACACAGACAGTTCTGATCTGGGTCTTCAATGAAGGCTGCGAGTTTAGATACGCACGTTCGCGCAAGCGAGTAACCGGTAGGGCCCTGCAGCATATTCCCGATGATACATGTATGTACACACTCGTATAGGAGGGATATCGCGGACGTCGTGGATATCAGGTCGGTGATTGGTGGCTGCAGTTTCTTCACTAGCCGGGGTTCATAAGGCGAGATAGAACCAAACTAATGAGAGTAAGCAGCACTCGTAAAAAGCAAGAGAAGTTTATACCAATTTGACGATCTTGATGAGCATCCAGTTGTTAGATGACGTGGTTAGAAGATGGAATAGTTGCGGGGCGAGCGGAAGGTAGTCTTGGGGGTTCTTCCGGGCGAGCTCACACAAGACATTCACAGTTGCGCAAACCACACCTGAGTGTGTGCCTCGGTTAAACAGGCAGTCTCGTCTCGTTGAGCTTGTGCTGACCTGGATCGGAATCTTCCAGCTTTTCCTGCAATCGGCCAATACCATGACGGAGAGCTTCAGGGTACTTGTCGAACACTCTGTACATAGCAGCAACTGCTCTCTTGCGTATGTGGGGTCGGGAGTGGTTGAGCATACCAACCAAGTCAGGACTGAGGTCGCGTGCGAGGTCTGCGGTCATAATGGAAGAAACGCCATTTAGAGTGACTGCAACGTCTGCAGGCGTCGAACTGAGATCCTAGATGTGATTCAATGGCTTGTTTCATACTACAGGCTGAACACCCTCTCACCTTCTTGAGCAAATTGGTAGTTAACATCAACACATCCGTATCCTCGTTAAACGACTGGACAGCACCAAGATAGCCTACACTCTTGAGATGAATCTTGGGAGACGACATGACTTCTACGATGTGAAAGGAAGCCCAGCTCATGTCATATCCTAGCATTTCCAGCTACAAAAGGATGTCATGTTTGAAGGTAGTCAAGAGAATAAGAGTAGCGCACATATGTAAGTTTCATGACAGCACCAGCCTTGAGCGCCATATCCTTGCTCTTGATTTCACGCCTGATCTCGTCCATGGCCTGCCCAATGAACTTGCTTTCATCATTCTTGTTAGCCCGCAGGCCACGAATAAGATCCTGGAGCGTGCGCTCCCACATTACAATAATCGATGCTTATCAGCCAGAAGGGTAATGAATGGTGTTGAACTTGAGTTTGACAGGTGCGTAGACGAGACTAAGCGACTGCAGTATTCGTACTGATAGTCACATGATAGTCAGCGCGTCCACGGTGAGTATATAGCAAATACAAAGCATCTCACATAGGGGCCTGCCTGGCCAGCTGTTCTTCCTTCCTTACGATGCTACTCGAGCTCAAGGCTCGGATGTACTTGCACTGGACGTCCAAAGATGTCCTCGGCAGTATTATTACATAATAACTCATTGCTAGAATTATTTTGGTCTCGTGACCAGTGCTGAGCGCGTTATTTATGTTCTAGTTTGCCGCAGAATCTTCCTCATATTTGTACCATCAACATCCATAGGTATGTACCCTGTCCAACGTGCACGCTGGCGTGTCGTGCATATAAATCATCGTCTAACTCGCATTCTAGGCTACTATACCCTAACATCAATCCTAATCATCACCATTTTAGCCCTTCTATAACTTCATTCGTTTAGCAATGGTAAACATTCTCTTCCGCTGGACTCGTCGGGGTCGTTCTCTTAGCCCGCCATGGTGACGGTACTACGCACTATCAAGAGCCAACCACGTTCAAGTCAACCCCAGGGTCTCTTACTCCGCTCGGCGCAGTATGTCTTCAGTATGAACTCTGAATTGCTCGCAGCTGACGTTCCACTGCAGCAACAATCATCAAACTTGGGATCTTTCATCAGGAATACCTACCTTCGTCATGATTCCAACTCGTTCATTCAGGGTATCAGCACCGATGTTGCCATAGTCGACCAGCTCTCCGCTCGTGCCGCTGGTGGTGGTGCTGAAATGATTGTCAACTCCGCCTACGCTTTGCTCCAAGGGTTGTATCCTCCTACCGAACTGGGCGCGACTACTCTCGCTACTGGACAGAAGGTCATGCCTCCTCTGGGTGGATACCAGTACATCCCAGGTAAGCTCAGTAATTCGCCTGCGTCCCGTAGTTCTCATGTTGCATTACAGTTGTACATGGTGGATCCTAAGATAAACCCCGTTTTCAATAGCTGGGAGGATTGCAATGTAAGCGATTTTTGAATTATTCACCGGGCTTTTATGGGCACTCACGTTCTGTCTACACTGTCAGTATTTCCAATTCCACCTGAAGCGCCTTTACGCCTCCGCTCTAGTGAAGAACATGTCTACAACCGCTCAGCCGTTCCTTAATGCTGCTAAAACCCTTCCTAGGCGACACAAGCAATAATTTCACGAACATGGTGCGTATTCGTGTTTTACAAGTCATTCTCAACTTACTGATATGCGTCGCAGTGGAACGTAAGTCGTCACATTTTGGTCATCAGCCTGCTGCCTTACTGTGAATAGATTTATGACTATATCCATTTCCAATACACACACAACAAGAGCTTCTACGAACATTTCCCAGCCACCTACGTTCAGCAGGCTCGTCACTACGCCAACTGGCTGCAACAACGCGTCTTCACCGATTCTGTCCAGAATGGGATTGGCGAGAGTAAGTGACCGTTTGATTCACATGAAAACCTTGACAATCCTGGGTGCGCAGTCGCCATTCGTACCCTGCTTCCCAATGTCTTCTGGCATCTTGGGAACATGACGGAAACTGCCAACAAAGTCAAGATCGCGTTGCATGTCGTTGATTACAAGCCCTTCATCAGTCTCTTTGACGTTACGAACGCAACGAAGACCGATCCTGATGTTGCTGGTATCCGTACGCTTTTTTTTCATGCGTACAATGTACCCCTCTGATTCTTGGCTCCGCTAGCCGAACATGCCTCTCTCATTGCCTTGGAGCTCTCCAAAGATACACAAGGGGAACACCATGTCAGCATGAAGTTCAAAAACGGAACCCAGAACAGCGAGTTCCGCCAGCTCAAGATGTTTGGTAACGATAGCATCACCCTCAAATCATTCATCAAGGAACTAGCTGTGAGTACTGCGTTTGCATCATCGACTTTTGACCGCTCCGGGCTAACGGAGCTGATAAATCAGTGGACTACAATCAACTCCACGAACAATTGGTGTTTCTCGTGCAACCAGACCGTCCTTCGGGGATGCTCCGTCTTTGATTTCAGCAAGGATCCTTTCCTACATGGGTTGGGCAACAAGGGCTATAGCCAAGCGGCCGCCAAGTCGTCAAAGGCTGAGAGGGAACTGTGATTGTCGTTCGCCAAGGCTTCGTTCCAGCAATAGATGTATTTTTTAAAACTTTTTCGACTGGATTCAAAATACACTAGCGTGTCGAATTATTTGCAGAGGTTGTAGGTATGGATGTCTCTAAAACTCATCCGTTCGAACAACCCTTATCCTTATCATCAGCAATCATGTTCTATCGAACTTGCTAAGTTCTTGCCACACAGCTCGTGGCAGACTTGCAACGCGGCAGAGGTTGTAGAGAACAGCGCAGCCACACTGATCATTGCGACCTGGGCTGGAACGTGAGGGGTGTCCATTTCCTTGTAACTAACTCACGCGTCGTGCAATCGACTATACTGCACCGATGCGAAAGCAGAAACACGACTCACTGTAGTTCACTGTCACCGCGACATGCCACCCACTCATAAACATACAAGGGCGAACTACCACGCCGGTGAGTCATGTGGTTAAATACAGGACGCAAACTACTCATACTAATTATTATGCAGTCCTGCCCAGCGCAGCAGCTGTTAAGAGGCAATATATAGGACATGTTTCACTCTCAGGGTCACCGATAGGTATTGATGCTGCAGATATCGATGCTGTCAAGGTAGCGACAACGGTGAGGATAAAGTAGAAATACATTTTCGTGAGGATGTGATGTGGGATCAAATAAATTTGAAGGGGACAGTAGGAAGAAGGCTTGCTTTTAAGTATGCGAAGAACCTATCCCCCTTTTCGAACAGATGATATCTGCAATGCCAGCAGATTGCCACCTAGTATCTACCTTGTGAATCAAGACCTATTGGCAATTTGGCGTAGAACAAAATGTCACCTTGCGAAGCCAGGTCAATGCCAGCTCGAATCCGCTAGTCGGAACAGGACTGATCTCACCTTCAGTAACTACGTCAAATGTCTTGAGGGATCGAGAAGTTCGAACCATCTACTAACCATGTAATATCATATGGGATCACTGGCGCGCGGCGAGCATGTCAGGCTAAATTCAGGAATGGGCATGGCAGCTCTGTATTCGTCGGCGAACACTGAACGTTTGAACTCCCTAGCACCGCTGAGATGGGACAATGTGGCTTTGTGTCGTAGTGTCCTATGATGATGTCTATGATACAGTGTTCTCCCTGAATCTGTCAACCTTCTCTGACTAAGCCTCGGAATCGACCGTGGGACACTTCTCTTCGTCCTTGTTGCCCATGAGACCCCTAGTCCATGCACCCCCCTATAAAGAACCAGCACCACCCTCGACGCCACTTCCCCACTCTGCTTCAACTCCCGTTCTCCTTTATGAATTCTTCTTCATCCTCTTCTTCATCCTCTGTTATATTCTCATCTCCTTTGGAGTTGTCTTCTTCGTCTCCCCCGCTTCTTGGTTCTTCTTGGTTTTCTTTTCTCATTTCATATATCTCCTGCTTCTTTGCTAACTGGGTACCAATCCTTGGGGTGAACGCTCTCAAGCGCCTTGCACTGTATTCTCCTTGTATTGATCTCCCTTCTAGCATTTCCAATTTATATGAGTTGAGGTTTCTTGACTGAATTTGACATGGAACCAACCATTTTGGTATTAGTTTTCATTCTGTCTTGAAGGTATAGTCTAGATCATTGTGGTATACTTGAACTAGTTGACCAATTTTGAAAATGACCTCACCAGGCTTTCGCTGTAGAATTCTTTTGTCAAACACCACTTTGCGTCTAATCACATGATGGACTGTCTCTTCATAACCATCCAGCCGTTGTTGCTCCACGTATGCCATCTGTGTTAACACATCTGATTGTCTCAGTGTCGAGGTGCTGTCTTCGACCCGTGTTCGTGGTGTATTCGCCACGAGGCCTAGGAGTAGTTCTTTAGGGGAAAATTTCAGTGCAGCCAATAAATGGTGATTTAACACAAGTTCTTGTCCTGGTAATGCATTATACATTGTAGTGACAAGATACACATATTGCATTAACATCTGTTACTACAAGTTTAAATGATGCATTGGGTCATGATAACTACAAGACACATAATGCATTATTGCATGATAACCACCACAAACATCCCTGCGCGCTGTATGGGAGGCATGAAGCTCAGACCAACAGTTATGGTACCATTAAGAATCAATGTTTTTTGTACAAAATAAGCCGCTGGTAAGTGGTAAATTAAAATATCAAGGGTGAAGCACAGCATCTGGAAGGTGGAGATCTGGAAAGTGATCTTGACAAGCACTACTCAAACTTGTCATGCTAGTAGAGGTAGCTGCTGGTAGGAGATGTATTGCCCATATCCTGTCAAAGCAGTCAGCCAGATCATGCCTGAGCTGGGCCTGGCAACGGGCGTATGCCACCAGACCTTCATAGGCTATCAGACTCTCGTTGTCGCTGGCAATGACGAGCGCACATTCTCCAACCTTATTTTTCCACCAGCCTCCATGCCACCTAAGAAAGCACACCACCCTGCACATCTCCTCCTGAAGGAGCTCTACTTCTTCTACCCAGTGTGCAGCCCTAGCTCGAGATTTGCACCATTTGAGCCTAAGACCTACCAACAAAGTCAGCCACATACCTTCTACGATTTGTGGTTCACATTGAACTTACCGTCTTGTATTGCCTTGTCTGCATCATCTCTGACACCTTCAACTAACCAGATCCATGGCAGTTGCCTTCGACCTTCGCTCTCTCCATGCCTTGGAGCTGACATCCTGCGTACATCATTGTTCCTGTCAAGCACTTTGAATGTATCATCCCAGCCAATCTTACAAAGCACTGGGGCGAGAGACGAGAGAGCTGTGTGAGCGGTGCAATATTTATCTGCTGCAGCTGCAGTCTTCGCTTCAACACGGCTGAGAGTGTTCTGCGCACGAGTATTAGCACTCTAGCCTCGAATCCAATCCCGTTTGAATGAGTACATGTAGCCATGCATGCAGAGGCTCTGTCGGATTTCTTCAAGAGCATTGCCAGCCTGAGCATACCGCAACTCCCACTCGGTTGAGACGAGTCGGGCATTAGGAACCATGGACTTGCTACAAAGAGCTGATGGGAGCCAGAGGTTAGCATCTTCCGGCGTGATTATATCGGACATATGGCGGGAAGGGGTATTGATTGTGGACTCGAGTAGCTGTACTTCGGGAGTGTAGAGCATTTGGATGCACTTCCAGGCATCAATCTTCCGCTGTAAAGCATTCCACAGCTGCTGAATTGCAGCCATTTGCGTATCTGTGGCATGCAGTCCTTGCTTGCTGATATTTGCTTTCAGACATCGTCTTAGGGAAGAAATGAACATAATGAAAAAGAATGATAGATACTAGTACTAGTATGCACTGTTCATTCTCGAGGATGATCCCCAATGCAAGAAATATGCTAGGGGACACTTCGGCATGCAGGGAAACATCGGTCCCTTCTTGGAGCTTGTATGCCTCGAGCTGAGTGAGTTTGAGGCAAATAGCAGCTTGTGTAACAGCTTGTAATACTAGTTGTCAGTAGCACCTCGCAATCAGATTTTGTTCGCTACTCACCAATGACTTTTGATTTGAATGGATTTGTGACCGAAAGATCATTTGGATTTTCCTCCCAGGATTCAACTTTGACCGTCCAGGCCTCTGTTGTCTCGGGTGCCAGCGCCTTGTGGAGTTCTTGAAATGCTGTTTGATGTGCCTCTTGTTCTTTCTTGGCCTCCATCATTTTACGAATGTTGCGCCTGTTGCAGATACAATGTCATAAGTGCCAGTATGGAGTATCAGTGGAAACCTACCAAGCCCTACAACCTTCTTCCAGTTCCAGTCGCCAAAATGGTCATCAAGTACGTCTCTCCGTGAGCCTGGCCCCATTTCTTTGGTACTAGAGGCCATGGGGTTGATATTTGACCATCCGTGTTCAGGCGCTTCACCATCTGTTCGTCCAACATTCTTCGAAAAATTGAACGAAAAATTGGTCTGGCATGTCAACACGTGTGCGGGGAGGTGGAACTTTGGAACAAAAAACCTGACAAATATTGCCAGATGATCCAGACGGAGGTTGAGTGGCATTGTCGACATCCTCTGCCATAAATTCTTGTGCCACTGACAAGCAATGTCATATGAAACATTGAGTGTGTTGGTGCAGCGTCCACGGAGTGCTGAGAAGAACAAAAGATCCATATTACTATATCTACATTCAGTCAGTATCAATGATCACCTGCCAGCTAGTCTAGTACATACCTTTCGCCTTTTTGTAAATTGCCAACACCATTCAGCAGCTTCATGTTGTGCCATGCACAATCAATGGTCCCAACTCCTATGACGGCTAGACCATGCAATGCTTTCGAGTCTGCCATGTTCATGGCATTATGTGATGAACATGTGCTTTTCTACGTATATAGGTGGTCAGAGGCAATTACATATGCAAATACAACAAAAGCTCACCTGCTGTGTGTTACCGCTGCAGGTTTGTAGATATTTTTTGTAGGCAGTCTCCTCAACAAAATAAGCCCAGCTGCAACTAAGGCTAGGGTCCATGCTATCCTTAGACACTATGTGCCTTTTAAGGCGGAAGTTGGCATCAATTGCCACAAAGAGAGCATACAACCAACTATTCACTAATCAGCCGAGCGAGTAAAGATATAAATGTAATAACTCGTACTGTTTTCCTTTTGGTGCATCGCGCCAGTTATCAGGTAGGTTTTTACCTGGTTGTGGACAAGCTGGGCATAGCACAGCACATTTGCCGCTTCCAGTACTCTCTACACTGGCTGAATTGTATCCCCGGCCAGCCCGCTTCAACATTTTCAGATGTTGCCATTCGCGCACTATCTGCATAAATGCTTCATAACAATCCTAATACTATGCGTGAGACGGATTATTGAACAAGATTCAAGAGGTTAAACACACCTTTCGTGGGTAGAGTCCTGTATTATCCGAGAGTCATGCAATAGTGTGATAAAACTCATAGCTTGAACATTTAGATTCGAACAATAAGATGTGATATTGTTCCAGGATTCAGAAAGTAGCAGCAGTACGAGGATCAGTAGTTGTTGCTGGGAACCAGGCTGTATGAAGCAGCTGCTTCATATGTGTCTGAGCGGTCTCACAACCACAGAAATCCAGGCCGATCTCATGGATCCCATTGGTATCAATGAGAGTGAAGTCGTCATTAAATGCCCTCTTAGGAAACAGACATTTAGCACCTGCTGGATGTCCAAGCTGCACATGCAGCCCTAGCTTCTTGAGTGAGATGGTCATGAAGTAAGAGCCTCTCCACTCCTATAAAGAAACATTCATAAGTAAATGTGATGCATATATATTTGATCACCTCTCACCTGGATCTGATGCATTGGATTTTTAGTATGAGTCGCAACAATACAATCATGACAACACAGCTTGGTGCAAAAGCAGTCTTTACACTGAAATCACGGAGTGCCAGAGTAGTGGCTGCTGCAGATAGTGTCATGTATGTAGTCCCCACGGCCCTCATATTGTAGTAGTTCCTGCAAAAAAAGGTCATGGTCCTTGATCCACATCAAGAGTGGGTGATCCTGGATACATGAGGCGTCAATGTTCAAATTACATGTAGTAGTTCTGCAAACTAAGTCATTGGAAAATACTTACTCCTATGTTGCGCTTCCACCTATTGTTGTTGGTAACCTCAGGTTCAATCTCACAGTCAGGTTCCTGCTTGTCCAGAGAGTAGTTTCTGTTGTAGTCTAATGCAGCCCCTTCCTCCACTCTCATACTGACCAGTTGTTCAGATGAGGCCGGCAAACTGACAACCTGCGAACTTCGCACAGTAAAGCCTTGACTTCGTGAAACAAACGTGTATGCAGTGTGCACACTTGGGCCACCTGAGTTGGGAGGTGTATATTCATTGAGCCTCACTCGTTTTTGCCAGTTAAAAGTCTTCAATGAAGGTGCAGGGAGTAAGCCAGCTCGATAATACTTGAGTTTGTACTGCCCTCACTGGCACTCATAGTGCAGGCGTCGCAGGTGAGTTCAAGGTACAAAACAGCAAATAAGATTTATGTAAGCTCACAAGCCCATAATGCATTACACCTGCTGCGCTACAAGGTATGGACACTGTGACTGATGCAATTCTTGCTGCTAATGCATTACACTACTTGTAAGCTCCATAGTTTACATGTATTTAAGGCTAAGCCATTTTTCTTTTGTCCTCTAGCTTCACATTGCCATCATTCCATCACCAACATCTGTCATATACCTGATCTGACTGCTCCAATATTAATATCCGCTTTGCTTTCTGACCACCTCCGCTCCATCCATCCTCCGCTCCGTCCAATCACAGTCCGCATTCTGCTTCTACGCTTCCGCTCGACCGCCCAACCGGTCCCCTTCCATAACGTCTCCATTCAACTGGAACCGCTTTCCCCTCTTAGATATATACTTTCCCCTTTGGTACATAGACCCTTACTTCTGGATCACCAGTAATTCCTCTTAACGCTCTATCACTGATCCAACACATACATATTGATATCCGCTCCGACTTATGTCTTCGCCTGTGTAAGTACTTACAAATTATATCCTTGGTACATAGCTTTACAACATAGTTATCCTGATCACTGCCTCATACTTAGAAGTATATAACATATCCTGTACTTAGATATTTTCCTCAGTCTTAATATTACTTGTCTTCTTGCAGTTACTACTTGTGAGAATTCTCAGTAGGACCTTGCCTCCTCTGGACACAAGTTTCACCTTGTTGTCACCTCTGACCCTCTGCTCCGACTTAGAGCCGTGCTCTAAGTCTCCTCTTTACTTCTCTGCCCCTATCAAGTATTCCCCCTGCTCCTTTCCACCCTCCGCATTATCCTCCGCCTCCTCCGCTCCTATCAAGTATTCCCCCTGCTCCTTTCCACCCTCCGCATTATCCTCCGCCTCCTCCGCTCCTATCAAGTATTCCCCCAGCTCCTTTCCACCCTCCTCATTATCCTCTGCCTTCTCCACTCTGCTCCTAGTCGGTCCACCACTAGTAGCTCTTACCTCCCGACCCTTAAAGCGGACCTAAGCGGTTCACTCGTCCTATCATCAGACAACATCAGACCTGCTCCAAATTTGGGGCACATACTCGGCTAAGGGCGCAGCGCAAGAGCTGAAGCCAAGCCCTGACCCCTCTGCTTCCTGAGTCGGCACAGTACCTAACAACATCTGTTTACATGGTTCGATCTTTGTCATGTCCACCGGCTACACCCAGTGCAGAAGATGACGTCCATGACATTCGTGAGTCATCTCTTAATCCAATCATTTGTAGTCTCATTGATGTAGGGATCAGCTCTGAGTCATGTGTTCCCCCAGCTCTGGACTCGCATACACTGGCAACATCTTCTGAATCTTACCATATGGCTGTTGTCTGTCGCAGTAAGGAAGATAACGATGTCCGTGTCATTCGTGAGTGCTCTCCTCTATCTCTTGATCAAATCATATGCAGTCTCATTTTGCATGATGACTAGGGATCAGGTCCCGTGTTCCCCCAGCTCTGACTTCATCTACAGCAACTTCCGAATCTTACCGGGCATTCTGTCATGACTTGGACGGGGGTCTGAATGAGCTGTCAGAAGATATCTTTAGTATGTACTATCTTTTATTTCTGTATGAGTCTCACTCTGATTCAGGCATACTATCTATGCCGTGTTTTCTTGGTGATCTGTTTACACTACTACATTTGTGCAACAAGAACAGAGTGTACATATCATCGGTGCCATCATATGCGCATGCTGAGGACCACAATGAGATTGTTTTCTATGAGGGTGAGCGAAGTTATGCAAAAGTCGCTGGTGCTATAGCGGATGATTGTGATATCTTTTTCTACCACGGCATACTATACAACATACCAGCAAACACCAATTCTACCCCACCCTTCACCTGCATCACAAGTGGGCATTACATTGGTGTTTTCAGCAGTGAGTAAGTTACAGATTATCTTAACATCTCAGCATTCACAATTGCTCTTTCCAGAGATTATGTGCTGATGGTGGAAGGAATCCCGGATGCTGTTTTTTTTGAGGTTGAGTCACTTGAGGTTGGAGAGAGAGCATTAAGGAATGTGATTGAAAGATCTCCTGGACAGATCCCTGTGATAAGAACTATCATTCATTAGTACTTAGTAGCTGTTGTGTGATCTATGAGTCACTCAAGCCCATGCATTGTTGGCCATATATCCTAGATCTGTTTTTGTTCGTTCTCACTGTGATAAGGAAGTTTTTGAGGGAATTGAATATGCAGGTCTTCAGCTCATTCAATGTTGCTGTATGGCGCTGGATCTGTTCAACTATTCTTCACATGCAAAACTCACACGCACAGACACCACACACACACAAATGAGACACACACACATAATCACTTCGTTGCATACACACTCTCGTACCGTAGAAAATTAGTACTGCACTATTAGATCTGACATGATTTGATAATCAATTTATATTGCAGACAAGGCTGCTGATGAAGGGTTCTATAAATGAATATTTTTAAGGCCCAGCTGGTAGACAAGATGGAGCGATGAGAAGTGAGTAGGTCTCAGAGTGAAACGCACTGAGAGTTGCCAGCATTGGCAGCAAAGCCTCAAATCTTTTTAAGGCCTGGCTGGTGGACGAGACGGAGTGATGATCAATTTATATTGCAGACAAGGCTGCTAATGAAGGGTTCTATAAGCGCCAATCAAGTAGAGTCCAAGGGCAAAAAAAATGCACTGAAGCCGCCAGCATTGGCACAAGCAGAGTATGGGTGTGTCATGAGGATGTTGGTAATTGTAGGATGTGTGAAGGAGGGAGTGATGCAAACCTAAGAAATGGAGGAAAAGACTGGAAGATGGGACTATGAGATAGCACGTAAGTGCTCACTTGCGGTACTTTCTCCTTCTCTCCTTTCCAATCCCTCACTCTCCTTGCAATTGGTTGCCATCACATTGACAATGGTCGATGTGGGTCGGTGTTGTGTGGTGGGTGCTCAAGTGGTGTTGTGGCAGTGGGCGTTTGTAGAGGATGGATGTGTGAAGTAGGTGCTAGTGTAGGTGGTGAATGCAGGGGTGCCCTGAACGAGGTATGATTGTGCGTGAGTGTGAGGGTGAGAAGAGTGGGGTGGGTGCTGGTGAGTGTAGCAGGTGGGTGGTGCTGAGACGGAACACAAGTGTTGAAAGGACAGAAGTGACGAGTTGAATGAGAATGGGGGTGATGAACTGAATGAGTGTAGTTGTACCATATGATTTGGTACATCAAGTTGGCCAGTTTTGATGGCAAGAATGGCAGCCAGAGATGAAATTGTCACATCAAATAATCTAGATATAAAGTGAGCGAAGAACAATAGAGAAGATATGAAGTATTTACCTTTGCATCAACACTATCTTCCCTGATACAAAGATCTTGACTGGACATTTTGCAAAGTGGGTATGATGCCCTCAATAAGTATCAGTGTGAGTCTGCTATGAGTGTGACAGACTCACTGAGATATGTGAGCACGTTCAAAAGACTCCTACTAGGTGGGATAATTTCAAGTCTAATTAGTAGCACTACTACGTCACGAGCGCCTCCAACCAAACTGTATTCCATACAGTACTTACCTTTACCGTGACGGTCTTTACTGTCAGAGTCGGAAAGGGTGCTGGTTAGTAACTTCTTGCCCTAAACTGCCATGTCCTGCAATGACCACGACAATGACTGCAGTGAATCTGACTCAGCTTGCTGCATGTGCTTCACACTGATAGAAGCAGTACTTTAAGCTTTAGGCTTGGTATGTTCCTTATGATACTGTGACTATATCACTGATTACAGTTCTGCCATTGCCCGCCCAACACCATCTCTCTTGTATGTATTCTGTACACCAAGTTAGTGTTCTTACCAGCATGTCGCACCACCATTGGTGATAAGAAGACGCTCAATGAAGTCATTTACCTCACAGCTGGTCTTGTTTTTGGGGTTCAAGAGTGCCGTTGGTACACTATGGGAGGTCAGACACCGGTGTGTAGTTCTATGCCATATTACTGTCATCGGGCACTCATTCTGATTTCTCTGTACTCGGTCTTGCGACCTTAGCTTGATTCACATCTACTGTATAGTTTGGGGCTACGTCAACGTGTGCACCTCAAAGTATGGTGGCCTAGGTAAGTATTATGGTCAATATTGTCTCTTGTTGTTTTTGTCTTTGAACTGAATGATATTCAGGTATAGTTTCAGCAGCTATGACTCCGGACCTGGCTGGTTCTTGAATCACGTCCCCCCGAGTGTTCTGGCAAATGATTGAGGATCGGTCGTTTTGGGAATGCCTGAAGTTCAGTGTCGACAGAACAGATGACCTCCGATATTTTGCAATTCAGCAAGTGCTCGGTTTTATTGGCTTCCATGCAGGTCTGAGCATGATTTTGGACTTGAACATGTTCTGCCCAATGCATGAGCAGAACCAGACCTCAGCACTACTAGCAGTAAAATAGAGCTTACTCTCTTTGATCCCACACACACTTCGTACATTAATGGAGCTTTCATTTTACTTTAGATTTCAAACTGGAGGCGAGTTCGTACCGAAGTTTCAACAGTATACTAATACAGATTGCTTTTCACTCGAGGCCACAGTATTGTGTGCAAGAAGGCATGACAGTCCTTTTGTCCATAGTAGAATAAAATGGACATTAACTCCAGAACAGCCTTGGGTGTGAAGGAGTAAGTCTGTGGGCTTCAGCGCTGTGTCACACATCAGGGGTTTTAACATTATACCACTTGCAAGATTTCAATCAGAAGCAGGCCTGGATCTGGCTGAAGTATTCCAGACCTAGCCTAGAGTGTTTTAGAGCACTATAGAATACGACACAGGCCACAGTAACTACAGAGACTGCATATGAAGTGTGTTACTGAAATTTTAGTTGGGAAGCAAGCTAGTGGTACATAAAAAAAATTATAGATGTCCGTTTGTTTCCTGCTCATACATCTTTCTCACTTCATCAATACCATGGGTTGTTGTGGTCCAAAGCCTTGGACAACCACCAAACAGGAAGAATTTCTTATGGCACGACTCCCTGACTATATCAGATGTCAGCCGACAAGGCACTGCAATGATTTTATAGTCAACATGAACCTTGCATTCTTGGCTAAGTGGCCAGAGCATGCATGTCTACATGGACAAGGGATCCCTGCAGAAGGACTTCTTACCCCTCAACAGGATGTGATCGTCAAAATAGCTACTGAAAAATGCAAGACTGTGAGTGACCTAAACACATGCAAGCAGCAAAGTACAGACCTGACAAGTCAAATTCCACAGGTCATTGTGTGCTGGTACCGGTGGATTACAAATACAGCACTTTTGGCACGATCAGGCAACTCGAATGTTGCACTAGATTTGGCGGTGACAATGAGTGGGGGAGACAAGCTCAAGGGCACGAGGGCACCACAAGAAGTTGAGGTGTACTCACAATGCCATTATGAGACACGCATAAAAGATGCTGCAGATGCCGCAATTGTAGCTGCAGGGGCCACTTCACGTGGTGAAAAACTGTCCAAGAGAAAGGAAGTAACACGCATCAAATATGCCTCAGAGGACAAGGATGTGAGAACTGAAATCAAGAAAAAGCACCAAGACGCACTTGAAAAGTGGAAGCAGGGCCGCGAGCTAGCCAAAGTGGGATTCATGGAAGAAATCACCAATGATACAAAGATACAGTATGTACTCACCAATTTTTGGTATCTAGAAGTCGTCACCTAAATAATAGTTAACTTCAGGGCTTTCAATGAATTGGGACCACACCTCGATCATGTCTTCCATTATTTATCTCACAAGACTGGTGGGCTCAAATTTAGTTGCATCGCTGGGGGACGTAATCCAAGCATGGGTGAAATTGTTGTAATCAAGTAAGTCTATATATTCTCAGTGCCTCGGATGTATTGTGACGAACCTTGCAGCTTCCATTTGGGAGAAACAGATACTGACACAGCCTTCTCAGTGTGCTACCCAGGTTTCTCAGATGTTCAAGCTGCCTATGCAGATTTCTCAAAGAAAGCCATTGGTAAGTGTTTTTGTCATGAGTCAGACAACAGAATATTACTCACATAATTATTTATAGCACACAATAAAAATATGCTGGCACTCAAGAGTGCGGCCGACTCAGATATGTCAGCCAAGACACCCATTGATAGTGAGCCTTCTGAGGAGACTGATAAAGAGGACCAAGACCAGGTGACACAGGATGAAGAGGACAAAGACCAAAATGATGAGGGAGAGAGGAATATGGTTGGTGATTTTAGGATGGAGTGGTTGAATGACCTCTATCATATTGGGCCCCAGGAGGTGAGTGATGCATTATGTAATGTAATGCATTTCGCACTGTTTACTGACACATTGCCCTCTCCTGTTCTTAATGCATTACCTTTGTCCTCATCCATCAGGAAAACCAGACAGAACTGCTGAAAGACATTGGCCTGGATACTGATGTTCAGGCAATGAGCAGCACATCTCCAAGTCTATCTGATGAGGCTACTACCTTATCTTCATTTGAAAACTTCAACATCTGGACCACAGACATGGAAGGCTTCGATAATTGACTCACTGTCTTCGAGAACTCATTCCACCCCAACCTCATTGATACCAGCCTTGATACCAGCTTTCACCAGCCTCAACATAACTCCTTTCATTACGCTTCTCCTCATTTTGACTTTGGCAACTTCACAGCTGAGCAAAACCCGGAGTATCCAATCAAAAATTTCTTTTTAAATGCAAGCTATCCATATGGTGACCGAATGTCCCTGCCAGTAGAGCCAGTCTTATCAGTTGTCGCACCTCACAATGCACCTTCACCTCTGGCCTCAAACATTCCAACTCCTGACATTCCCTCCTCACCAGTAGTGACCTTACTGCCTGCGCCACCTGCAAATGTCCAATGTGAGTACACCAACACAGTTATGTTATGTGAGGTGGGACTTGGAAGCCTGATTGTCTGGCAGGTCACCAGGCCAATGAACAAACGAACAACAACGCAGTGGGCAGACCTACAACTGGACTGACTGATGAGGGGCAGTCAGATGAGGCTCCACATTGTACAGCACATCGACACATCCCATCAAATCGTGCACAGGTACTTAACACCATTGGATCATTGAATGCTCACATCTGTATGACAACTAGGGAGGCTAAAGAGAATGATGAACTTCTGCCGGTCACGCCAGCTGCAAAACGCAAGGCCAAGTCTATCAACCAATCCAACAAGTAAGATCTTTCCGTTGAGTTTCAGCTACACATGAGAGGCTCACAATTCATAGGAAACAAAAACACAGTTGAGTTTTGAACAATAATAATATTTCATATACCCCGGTCAAGGTTTTCATAACAGCTGAGCTCGCTGCATGGAGAGATGGAATGTGTTGAATGATTTTCATTTCGAGTAAGGATCTTTTGGTCTACAATACAGTTTCTGTATGTCTAAAATATAAGTGTGAACTCGCTTCTTACACTGCACTCATTCTGCACCCTATAAGAGGCTTCAGGAATTAGCTTAGGTTTGTTTGTTTGTTTGGTCAATTTATGAGTTAAGAGGCAGCTGGGCGTAGATTGCATGGAAAGATGAAGTAGATAGTCAAGTCATTGATATAATGCAGGCAATACTAGATGGGGTGGGCTGGAATACTGGACTTCAGGGTGAAGGTAGATGTGACAATGGAACCGCTTCTCATACCCAGCACAAGCAGCTTGCCCTTGAGACAAGGACACTGTAAAATGGTCAAGATGTTAACATGATCTTGAAAGAAGACACAGATAACATGTGATGCTCACGATGTTCATGCCCAAGAAATCATTCAAGCAAAGCATATGTGCCTCCTTGGCGAAGAATATGTTGTTGGCAAGGTTCTGCATGACCTTTGCTATTACCATTAGGCCCCGGCGGATGACTCCACCGTCATCTCTGGGCTCCGTAACATCAACAATCTCGGGAGCAACAATTGCAGAAGAAATGAATCTGCACAGAATTTAGCACCACTTGGCTTGCTGAAATGTATGAACTGACCAAAGAAATATGAATGTGCCAAGGGCAGTGAACTTTGATTCCGACCAAACTTGATCAGTCATCACTTGCACCTCAAGAAGGTAAAACCACTTACACTGATTTTGCAAGGTGAACGCAAACTTCTCAAATCATTCTGAAAAAGATTTAAGCAAACAGTGGACCCATAGTTGCATGGTCATGCATGGTGGTAGGGCATGGACCGAGGAAGTAATGATATCCAGGAAAGACAAGGCAACCAGCTCGACATTCTTCTAAATTTGTTCCACCTTGTCTCAGTTAGCCTTGGCGGGGTCTAATGGTGCCCTGCTACCCAACACCTCAAGAAGCTCTACTGTTGGTAGAAAATGCGGAGCGAGCATCGAGTGGAAGGACTGTGAAGATGCAATAATAAGGAGGCCCTGCCTGGGACCAGCAATATTTATGAGTACTTTGGAAAGGTGAACACAAACGCACTTAGTCAGTTGTCGAATAACAAGAAACTAAATGACGAACAGTTGAAAAAAAAAATCAGGCTCCAAATTGCTTGAATGGCCACAGGTGGAAGCAGGACTGAAAAAGTTTGGGAGATATGGTGGAAGGAAGACAGTGTGATGCCGTGCGGGAACAAGTTGTGATATATTGTTGCAGATAAGTGCAGATGTTGCACGTCAATGTGAATCAATCTGCAAAGGAGCTGAATATAAAAATAAGCATGATAGGTAGTGGAAAGAACAAAAGATGGGGACTTTAAAAGGTCATGGTATGAGTTGAAGGTACCCTATTATATAAACTAAAGGGTGATCTATTCTGGTGTCAGTAATTTAATGCATTACATGTGGAGCCAAAAGCCTGCAGGTAATGCATTACACTATCCATCATCGTTAATGCAATACAAGAGTCTTCTAACTACCCTGTATTAATGCATTATAAGGACAGGATCGCCTGGATTTAAAGCATAAAACCGCCTCCTCTAGATGATCTGGCCATGTTGTTGGGAGCTTATCCCAAGACACTTCTTGCTGCTTGTTGTCTTCTCCTATATTCAGTGTGCACAACCTCTTTAGCACATGTAACAGTAGCTTATTTGCCCCTTTGACAAGGCTGTTTACCCACAGGGAGTATGCTGCCATGATATGCAATTTACATTGCCATGCTTTGCATAACGTCCATACTGCATCATTGTTGAAATGCTTTCCACCATCTGTCATAAAGGTTTCTGATGATGTGAACGTGTTGAATATACCATTTAGGCTATCCATTGTTGTCTTTGTGCTGCTGGCTGTTTTATACTTGAATACCCAGGTGTGCTGTGAGAATACGTCGAGGTAGACTCCTAATGTGCTATATCCTCCCTTCCCCTTGGGAAGTGCAAGATAATCACCCACTAGTAGCTCAAATGGATGCCTCCTAATGACCGGTTCTAACAGTGAGTGCAAATGTGTTGGACCAAAGTTTTTGCACTTAGTGCAATTTTGTATGGCCTCCATGATTGAAGTGTCCAGCTTTGGGCTACAAATTTGATCCAATAGTGCCATTTTCACCACGTCTCTTCCCTAGTGACCTCCTTCTGTGTGTGCTTTTTCTGCCAAATTTTTTGCTTCTTCCTTTGATACACACTCCACCCTAGCTCTCACTCTGGTTTCTGCTCCCCCTCTAAGGTGCCACAGTTTTTCATCTTCAATGATATACTGCAATGCCTGATGTCTGGCTCTTTGTTTTTCCCGTACCTCCTTACTTTGATCCAGATTGCAGATAGCGTCAATGACTTCTAAAAACACTGGCTCTTTAATGAATCACATTTGAAGGTTCTCTATTGTTGGGTTTGTTGACATTACGAGCATCACATTGTTTGCTAATCCCATTCAAGCCTCCCAATCCTCACTTACCATCCACTCACTACCGTCTCCTGTAGTTGGTGGTATTCCTTCCCATTTGTGGCTAAGTCCATCAGCAACAATGTTCAACTTCCCCGGAACGTGTCTCACATCCATGATATTGTATGCTAGTATACCTTCTCGCCATCACATATGTGCCACATTTAGCATTGGGTTCAATAAGGTGTCCTTTAATGTGTTGCAATCTGTCTTGATTTCAACTGGGAAACCCCAGATTACACCTGAAAATTTATCTAAACCAAATTTCAGTGCCACAAATTCCAGCAAATAAGATTTGTACTTCCTTTCTGTCTGTGATGTCCATTTTGACGCAAAACCTATTGGGTGCATGCACTCAACCCATTTTCCAGTAGGTGTTTGTGTTTTAATGTGTTGTGATAAAACTGCTGCGAATCCTTCTATACACCCATCTGTTGTTACAACAAATATTGAACCATCATGTCTTGGTGCCTGAAGTACTGGTCTTGCCGTTATAGCTGCTTTGAGGTCTAAAAATGTGTCAGTGTGTTTTATTGTCCAATATTGATCAAGTTTGAAATTGGTCATCGTTCTATGGTATGCTGTTTTGCTATACGAGCTATTCAATGGGACCTTGAGTAACAGGTCCCTTAGAGGACCTTCCCGTTTTGCATACACTTTTATTAATGACCTGTAAAAACCTGTAAGACCTAAAAACAATGTCAGCCCCATCGTGTTCGCCAGTCTTGGCCAATCTACAATTGCTGTAAGTTTCGTTAGGTCTGGTTTTACCCCTTCTTGTCCAATTGTGCCTCCACAAACTCCATTTCTGATACACAAAATTTTGTTTTTCCTGGAGCGATTGAGAACCTGCACTCTCTGAACTGAGTGAAGATAATGTTCAACTTGCTCATCATATCCCTAAATGTGTCAGCTGCGCAACCTCCATCATCCATAAACAATTCCATAAGGTACGTCACCAAAAGATCGTGAAGTCTTGCTGCCAGTACATTGCAAAATGCCATGGGTACTCCCATAATGCCCATTGGCATCCATTTATACCAAAAGTAACCTTGTTCTTCAACATAGAACACTAGATATGGTTGCCACTGTTCCAGTACTTCAACTGCATAGTATCTGGCTGCAAAATTGAAGATTGAAATATAGCAATGTCTGCTAAGTCACTGTTGTTTTGCCAGGATATCCCCTTGTATCATTGGTGCAACCTCCATGACTTTATTCAGCTGCACAAAATTTTGACATATTCTCCATTTCCGTGGTCCTTCACTTGGACTTGTGATTTTCTTTGCTTGAGGTATTTTGCGCTTGGGTAGTTTGAATGCTGGAGCTCTTCCTGCATCTTGACATTGGTCATTGACCCTTTGCTTCAACTCTTCCTCCAACAGTCCACCCATCCCACGGGCTCCCCAAGCCACGACCGTAGTAGCTGTGCACTTGATTAACTCCAGCGGTGCCCACTCTATGATCCCAACTTTCAACATCTCTTCCACTTGTTTGTTGTAAAAATGTGATTGTTCTGGGGTTAATGGTCTTTGGTGTATGCATAGGTCGAATGTTTTGCCTTCAGGTACATTAAGGTTCAGTAGCACTCCCGGTATTATGCTAACTTCCCATAGTGAAAGTGTGAACAAATCTGCATTATTGTCATATACCGGATCCAAGCACCTCCAATACCACCTGTGAACATCCCCACCCCTGGTCCAACCCCCTGTTTCCCCGTCCGCTCCATTCCTCCTTCCCTGACAATGCACGAAGTGCATCTCAGCAGGATTAGCCCTGCTACCTCTGCCCGACCCAGTTCCGCTTTTCTGACACTACCCCTATGTCCTCCAACACCATACCCCTTCCATCCAACCCTATCTGGGGTTCCGCTCCTCCGCCCTATTGGTCCGCCCAATCCTACTCCTACTCCCTCCACTTTTCCGACCCGCTCGGTTCCGCTTGTCTTGTCCCACCCAACTGTTAGTCCGTCCGATCGCCTCACCGGTCCCCTCCTAGACTAGGAACCACTCAACTGGTCCTATCCCCGTTTAGTATCATAGTTCCACTTTTCGGATCACCGGTAATCCCTATACCCTAGTGATTCTGATCCATCGCATACATACTGTTCCCCAAGCCTTATTCTCATATGTCTCAGTCATCCTATTGTAATCCTGTACACTCAGCACATAGCCTTCTGCTATGCTATGCTCATCACTTAGAGTATATAAACATATGTACATTTGTCTGTAGATACTCAGTCTGAATATTACCTTTTCTAAGCCCTGCTCTTCTGTTCTTTGACTTGGGCCTGATCCTAGTCAACTCCTGTTAGCCGGCCTAGGGGATTGACTCCCTAGGCCAGCCACCCTCTGATCCTCCAATCCTCCAATCCTCCAATCCTCCAATCCTCCAATCCTCCAATCCTCCGCTCCTCCATTCCCCCATTCCCCCATTCCCCCATTCCCCCATTCCCCTGTTTTCCCTGTTCCCCCAATCCCCCGTTCCCCCATTCCTCTGCTCGTCCGACTTCCCGTGCATCGGAGCTAAACCCCGCACTCTCGCATCTGTCCCCTCCATTCCACTCTGCTTCAGACTTTGTCCAAGCAGTCCCTTCCACCCTGCTTCTACTGTTGGTTCCGACCACAGTAGTCTCCCACCTCCCTCCTGTCGGGCGGAACAACCCCCGCCCGACTTTCCTGTGCTCACCTAGTAGTCTATCGGTCCTCCTTCAGAGGACCCCTGTTCCGACATCCTGTCGGAACTCATAGAACTCATGTCAGACTACATTCCGAAATTAGGGGCACGTACTCAGGTAAGGGGCGCAGTGTATGAGCTGAAGCCAAGCCCCTCAGACTCCGCTTTACCCCTGAGCACGGTCTCAACAATTATCCCTGATAAACTGTTCTAGTTCTTGTCATTCATTGTCCGTGAGATTGTTTCCAATTGTGACCTGCTGAACGATTTCTGCTACTCGCTCTGGCTTGAATGGGTTCTCTTGCCTTGTGTATATCAATGGGTCTTGACTGGCTAGTGGCAATTCTGGTAGTTCTCCCAGTAATTGTTCTGTTGGGTCTGAAGTATCGTGCAGGGTGATAACCCTAATATTGCTTTGCTTCACCTTCTCTTCTTCTTCCCTGATGTGTTCTATGTTTCGCATCAATTGTTCCGCTTGCTCCTGTGTTTGCCTGCCACCTCCGCTCTTTTCCACAGTTGTTTCAACTGTTTCTTATCTTGACGCCACTGTTCATGTCCTATCGGTCTCCATTGCTCCATTGGAACACAAGGTGCATATGTTGCTTGCAAATGTTCTAACTTATTGTCAGTTTCATGTGTTCCACTATTGTTAGGATCTGTCAAGACTTGCCTTGAGGGGGGTGTTTCCAAACCCCACTACATTATCCCACTGTTTGTTGTCTAGCGTTAGGCTCTCTTTGTCATTCAGCATATTCATGATTTGGTTGAATAATATGACCTCCCTGTGTTGGTCTGCGATATGGATGGTGTCCATTTTGGAATGCCTGTAACATTGGCTTTCCGAAAAGGAATCCCCATCCTCCACCGCTACTGAAGACCTCAAACTCCCCTTCCGCTTGTACTCCCTTGATCTCTATCATTCCTGATCATTTCACTAATGAACTGACAATGTTCCCATTCGCCATGTGTAGTTGTCGTTTTGATCGACTCCAGTTATGTAGGTGATGTTTGACCTTGTTGAATATTGATGTACACATTGCCCCAACCATAGCCCCATCATCGAAAAGTGCTCTAACTCTGACGATCTCCCCCTTCAGACCTTCTATCATGATTTTATGTAGAAATGGGACTGTTTCCTTCGCTTCTACTTGTTGTCTTGTTGCCATTACATGTCCTGCAGTATACAAGTCACTGATCTGAATTGTTTTTGGCGAGTCTGGTACAAGTGCGACTGGCATATTATCTATAGGTTCATTGATGGGGTTGGGGCGTGAAGTGACAGTGTTGTCCTTGTGCACTGCCTCTCTGCACCCAAGGACTGTTATCTTAGCTTGCATATTAATAACACTTTGGGTCAGCATATTGCCTTCATCTACACTGACCCTTCTGCTTTTCCCTCTATGTGCTCTGGGAGTTCCTCGAGCCATGCTGTTGTGTATTGTGGTGAGTGGTTGACCACTAGCAAAATCGGTATAGCTGTCACCCTGTTAAACATGCCTAATGCCCTACTCACTATCGCCCACCATGCTGCCTCCTTATGTGACAACCTCTCTGGGTGGTCCATTGGTAATGGGCAGTTACGCCCATTGTGTCCATGTGTTCCGCAAGCAAAACACTCGCTCAATCCTATCGCTGCTGTGCCTGGCCTGAGCAGGTAGCCTGTTTCATGTGTGACACAAGTGTTTTCCCCCCACTTTGTGTTCCACTGCATAATCTGTGTCCTGTACACCACTGTGGGTACAACAAGTGCAGCGGAGAGAAATCGATCTACTACAAAGTTGGGTCTTTGCTGCCTACTGCCTCACTTGAGAACAAGCACGTTCGACCCTAAAGGGGATTGCTACTGGGGAGTGCTAATCTCTGTCTAAGCGACCCTATTCAACCCTACTGCAGGTAGGATGAGGATCCGCAAAAATGCGGAACAAGCAGAACTAGCAGAACTCAAGCAGAACAAGCAGGACTCAAGCGGAACCCAAGCGGAATGGAATGGAATGAAGTGAAACTCAACTGGATACAATGCGGAACGTAAGGAGTCGTTGGAACTTGCAGGTCAAGTCGAAGGAAGTATATCACAAGGTTAGATTGATAGTGGGCATAAGTCAAAGTGGTCCTCTAGTAAGGTGAAGGAAAAGTGGGAAGGTAAAAGATGGGATTCAATAAAATACCCCGAAGCCCTGAGTACCACTACTTAAAGGGAAGATTATTTTCAAGGTACACTGAGGTACAGGTAGTAAGTTCTCAGGAAGCGGAAGTGAAGGCAGGCAGTGCACATGGGCGCAATACTCCGGAATAGGGGTCCGTGCCATAAGGGCATGTGTCAGTGTGATCTGGATAACGTTAGGAACAACGGGAAGAGAGATACAGCATACCAATGGACCTGGAAGGATGGGGACAGGACATGCGAAGGTTGTCCGATGATGCGCAGGAATATCGGATAGTGCAGGCGGGTTCCGAAGGATGCACAGGAATGCAGAACCCATCGGATGATGCGCGGGAAATGCGGAACATGCGGAATATGCGGAACTGATGTGAGACGATGTGGAAAGGACAGGGTTTTACACCTACAGTGGGGGAATTCCCCACACCGTGTTTCCTATTGTTGTGTCCAGGTGATGAGTTAAAGCTGTGACTAAGTGTCTAATCACTATCTTCATATCTTCTGTTACAATGGTTGGTTGCTGTGGTTGTATGGGTTGTCTCATGAACATGGGTGGTGTGTTTTGCTGAATTTGTTGTGCTGGTACTCAGGAATATCTGTTGTTACCCTGTATCCCCAACATTTGTTCCGCTGCTATTGACATCCTGCTGAACTGGTTTTGAAGTGCTTGCAATGAATTCTGCTATGATTGTTGCTGAATGCGGGGCGCTAAGTCTGCTCATAGTGCCTTGAGTTCTAGATTCTTCTGCTCTACCCTCTCCACCAATCTAACACCATTGATTTTCACGACTGCTTCTGTAAATTCCGCCCAATCCTTGTATTCATCCTAACCAACATATCCTTGATGATGGCTGGTAAGTTGCATTGTACTTGCCATATCATAGATGTGTGTTTTACGATCCCGCGCTCATTGCTAGCTGCAGGGCTTTTGCTGCCCATGTGACATGTGACCAACACTCCTTGTCGTATAGTGTTGTCCTTTTCCCGACTTCTTCATTCTTTAGCACGTGCTCCAATAATTCTAGCTTGTATTCTGCTTTTGTCTTCTCCACTATTGTGACTGGTGGCCAACGTGTCCTGAACACAGTTGTGAACGTTATCCACATTGCTTTTTCTGCCAATCCTAACCCATTAAACCACACTTCCGCCTGTGATCCTGTTCTGAGATAATCCTCGAATGCTTCTATCTTGTTGCTGTCTGTTTTAACTTATTGTTCTCTCATTGCCCTGTTAAAGGACCTGAAGAAGTCCACAGGATTCTCGGACATTCATCCATCGCCCTGAAAAATTAGCAGGCACTCTGACAGCATTCTCGGTTTTTCTGGGGATGTAGGATGTGAAACTGGTGTTGTATATGCAACTGGGATATTGAACAGAGTGTCGATGTTGAAATCCGATAGTTCTGAGAGTGGCGAGTCTGCTTGGATTCCCAGTAGGAATGAAGGTATTTCGATTTCTAATCGTGGCACAACAAATTCACTCTCTGGGAATGGGATGGAGCTTTTATCTGCTTCACTGTTAATTGATGGGCTTTGCAGTTGTTCTGGCATGTCCAAAGGGGATGATTCGCTGGAAGTGGTTGTCGATGAAAATTTGCTTCTCAGATTGGTTATCGCTTTGCCCTCTTCGTTTCTGCTTCATAACTTTGGCATTAGCTTGTGGTTGTTCTTAAACATAAATTGAAAGCAATTGGACACAGTCCTTTTACCAAGTTGTACAGGTGTCATATTAATGACACCTGCTGTCTAGCTTAGCCTGCTTAGGCGTACCGCGACATAAACTGGTTCTAGTTCCGTGGGGCATTGTTGTTGATCCGAGACTTCGTTGACTAAACTTCTGATGTTGTGAGACTGAGTGCGAAATGAACTAATCTGAATGCTAAGACTGTGCTTCTGTTGCCAAATAGACTATGTGTGTGGTTCGGATTGAACACTGTTCACCATGATGAGATGGGACAATGTGGGTGTCCTAGTGTCCTATGATGATGTCTATGATACAGTGTTCTCCCTGAATCTGTCAACCTTCTCTGATTAAGCCTCGGAATCAACCGTGGGACACTTCTCTTTGTCCTTGTTGCCCATGAGATCTTGAGACCCCTAGTCTACCGCTATATGTAGTACGCATGTCATGTGTATTAGTTCTGCTCACACGTTAAGCTAAGATAGACCTCGTTCATACACTGGTTCATCACGTGACTTTAGGCCATGAACGCATTCTTGGACTTGTAACCCTGCTTCGGATGAGAATTAGCGAAATCTATTGTATGATCCTGTGAGGATGAACTATAGTATTAATGCTGTCTCCTCAGAATGTTTATTTTCAGCAACTTGAGGGAGAAGTAGGCCTTTTCGTGGCAGATTTACCATCGTGACCTGATATGTGACCTCAGTCACCTCACTTGAGACATTTGAACTCACAAACACTACTCGTCTCTCAGTTCACCCATTTAGATTATAAAAATTACATGCATGTCTTGCTACAGACTCTCTGCACATAATCATAGAACGAAATTTTCTCAGAGTTCATACACATGGAATCAGGTGTAAATTCATCAAAATGTCACGCTAGATCATGTGATGAACCGGTGTATGAACGAGGTCTATCTTATGATAAAACATATATCCTCGCAGGTTGTCTAAACGTGGAATCCGTGCATGAGAAGCAAATGAGAGGTAATGTAAATGTCATTTCAGCACTCTATGGCCTGTACACCGACTGTCATCCATTGACAATAAAAATCAAAGTGTTTCGAGCAACATACTTCAAGGCGCAATTCAAAATAGTGCCGCGTCAATGCTGCTTCTGTATGAGGATACCCTGGTGACCAAGAACGACTGCGTCACGGCAATAACGATTTTATTCCGCCAGTTTATTCACGAGGATACCCTGGTGACCAAGATTCAAGAATGCCCGTGTCACGGCCGTGGCAGGCGCATGGCCCGTTGTCATTGGCTTGCTCCACGCTCGACCGGCTCTTGTTTAAGCCTCTACCAATGATCAAGAGATTCTATGATGCTAGCGTGAATGCTGTTTTCGAACTTACAGATTAATCTTGACGAGCAGCAGTTATAAAGCGCATGAGCACGGAACTGACGAGTGAACGAAAAAAAAAAACCGCGCTTAGCTTGACACTGGCCCATTACTCGCACCTGTTGATGGTAAGAGTCACATCATCAACCTGTACTTAGTTGTAGATCCGAATTATGACACCCAGATCCTATGCCAAACGTTAACGAGGAGAGGTTGGGAGAATGAAACCCCGTTGGCGTTCATAAAGATTGCATTTGCATTTGATTGGTTCCATTAATGATGCGAAAAATGGCAGTGAGAGTGAGTACAACGACAGTGATGCAGTCGCAATATATACCAAGCGTTCCAATAATAATGCAAGATTCTGATATCAAGACAAAGAGGGATATGATTAAGGACGAAAGCAGCATCAAAGGAGGGGGTGGAGATAATAAGCCCGAGAGAGGCTGGGAGGTGACGTTATAGAAGCGCATCGCCATCCTTGCCAGACGCGACCAGCTCGGTCCAGTCCAGACGCCACTGCGCCATCTGTGATCGCAGCTTTTTGTCGCCGAGCATGCGTTCTATCCAGGATAGAAGCGTGTCGTCGTCTTCGGGTACGAAGAAAGAAGAGAGAAGGGGAGAGTATGGTCTCGAAATTTGCGGAACTGGATGTGATGTGATCTATTGATTGACGTCAGAATATGGTTTGATGAAGATATTAGATTAGAGTGACATGCCTCGGTAGACCCATACGATGGCCACTGCCACGGCGGTGAAAAGATCTTCTCCTTCCAGGAGATACGCGTCCCATAACCGGAGCTGCGTCTGGAAAGGGACGGAATTGGCGAAAAGCGTGATGTACCACTTGGTCGCGTATGAAGTCGTAGAGATCATGTGTTTCTTGAACGCAGCGTACACGTCCGGCATCTTCGATTCCATGATTCGTTCCTGGACATAAATGGCCTGCAACAATCCTGGAAAACCGGGGGAAAAGATGGAGTGCATGTTGTAGGTATCATGTAAGCGGGAAAGAGCAGCATAAACTTTTTCAGGTTCGAAGTAGCATAGCAGGGTTGCTGCTATAGGGCCCATGCCCTGCACATAACCACATTGAGAACATTGTAACGAGAAGGAGTGCAGGACGTGGAACAGGGACCGTTGTCTGGAGTAAGGGGTTCAACCTTGGCAAGATCAAAGTAGGAACTGATACGTACCCTAGTCCGTACCGCGTGCGAAACAGGATATGACCGCTGATCGTTCTTGGCACATCCAAATCGATCTGAATATCGTAGCTCGAGGGTTTCTCCAAGTCTTGCTGATAGCAATCTCCCAGCTTTTCGATCGCCTCACGTCCGGATTTCGAAAACCGATTCATGAGCACCTCCCAAGCTGCCCTTCTCCACCTATCAGGGATTCCCTTGTATACCCTCTGACGAAGTTTGTGTGCTTTCGATGGCTTGACAATCCACGATTCTATATTCCCGCCACTGTCTCGACTCAGGACTTCCAGCATCCTGTCCCACTTGGCAACCCGCATCTGTTCCTTGAGCGGAGATGAAGCTGCGGGCAAAGAGCTGACGGACACAGCATGGCTCGGAGCTGACTTTGAACCAGCCCTGACAGGTGCTAATCGTTTGAGTAGAGGACCAGATGGAAGTCGGATCAGTCGGTCATGAGATGGTACGAAGAAGAATCCATAGCTAATGGTAAAAGATGAGATTTGAGAGGACGTGCTCCCCGATCCAAGCTCACCGATCTAAGCTTGACAGTACGTTGAGCTCTTCAGCTTCAAGGTCTCGTGATCTCTCTGAGGGACCAGCTAGAGCAGCCTCCGCACGTAGTTCACTTCCTCTACTGGCACGGATTCGTGCGCGTGTGCGCTCCACGCCCTCCTCGTAGCCATCACCCCTGACACCAATCGCGTTCAGGTGTGCATAGGTGCTTCGCACGTGGAACGCGTCCAGGTCTTCACCTTCTGCCAGCGAGGGGACGAGTGAGGTTTTGCTAGAAGGACAGCTTAATTTTGACTGCTGTTGTGTGGTGGGAGAAGAAGATGGAGATTGAGAGGGCGGTGGGATCAAAGAAGATATCGGCTGTGGTGGGGTAAGAATCAGAGTAGGTTCAGGGACAGGTGATTCCGTCCTTCTCAGCAGGGATGGTGGACGACTATGGGGAGGCGTAAGATGTGATACAGGAGGTAAAACGGCGTCTATGTCAGTTGAAGAACTACATGAAGTGAGATCACTTTGGTGGCGACTTGGTGTGAGAGGAACGCGCTTGGAACGTGTAGGAAGTTCTAGCGTGTCTCTTCCATGAGAAGTAGTAGCATAACTTGGAATTGGGGATGGATAGGATGAGTGGGCAGAACCATTGGATGTAGCCGATGTCCGTGTCCGATCGTGAGGGTTAGACAGCTTGCTAAAAGGCTTCATGTCTGAGGAAAGGTCGATATAAGTGGTGTCGGTATTGGAAACATATGAAGTTCGTTGATTAAAGAAGTTACTGTAGGTGAAGCTGTCCCCCAAGGTCAAGTCAAGTTCCTTGGAAGGATCCTCGAAAGTAGAAGATGCAGTCCAGCTGGTTTGTGCTTCGTCGTCGTCACCGTACATGGAGTAGATTGTGAAAATAGCAGTTTCTGTTGAACTGCGTTCTCTGTCGGTTGATGAATCAAGTTCAGGGACTGATGATGCTCTCGACGAAGGCGATGACCTTGGACGACTTGGTAATGGTTTCGGCAGCGCAAGGGTGCTCGACGACGGAGTCTCCATAAAATAATTGGCAGACGAGAAAAGAACTTGGAGAAGAAATTGGTAAAAGGGAATTGTATTGAAGGAGCGTCGGAGGAAGAAGCTTGGGAAAAGACTATATAGGCCCTTTGAGCACTCTGGATGAGAGATTTCAATGAACGCCAATTAGGCAAGTCTTCTCTTGGTCCGCAACAGCCTCATCGCTGGCATCCAGCTGGCATGGCAATTTTACGGTAACGTCACATAGCCAATCTCACTCCTAGCACTAACTAACTACTTACAGTATTACCAGCTAGTTCTTGGCTAGTAATTGCCAGGTTTCAAACAATGATCTTGTATCCCTTTCAGGGCTTGGACCCTCAAAGCCCGGTTCCATGATTAGATCAATAACTTTAACACGGCCATCACGACGCATGGAACCTGCATTTACATAGTCAGTGTGAGCCGATCTTGAAGTGTTCTTCCTACAGCCGTTCATGTGACCACTATTGACAGAGCTTCCCACCGGTAACTTACTCGAGCTCGTGGCCATGCGGGACGACGATGCCGCAACGTTTCATTGTCAGTTAATTCTCCTCGAATAACTCCTTCAGATCGAGACTTATTGAAGTTTAAAGCTGTTAATCACAGTCAATTGGCCAATCTAATAAAATAGGTATTCCAGCGATGATGAAAACATGTGATGACGATGGTATAGTTATCTCCATCTAATCATGATTCCATCGTAGCTTGGACTCCACACGTTCCTATGCTATCAAAGTATTTATTGAAACTGCTCCCACCAGCTGCAAAACGAATACGTGGCAATGACATCAGTTCAAGACCGCTTACCCTGCAGTGGTAAGTAGACATTCAACTCACGCTGGCAGCCTGTACTTTTGCCAAAAGCAATCGGGGGCGGGAGAAAAACGCCCCCACCCCAAAATAATCGGCACCGGGATACTTTGGTCAGTTTCAAGTTTGTCACGATCTGGTATGAACTCACCTAGCACTTAGAGTAGCGCATCCATAGAGGGAACGACTGTCTTCCTTCTATTCATCTACCTGGGGAAGACCAAGCACCTCCAGAGAGTCATCCACCTAAAGCGAGGTCGTCACGGCATACAGAGCGAAAGCGACACCCTGGATTGCAAGTCACTGTTGAGAAGAATGCACGCTTGTCGATGAACGTTTGAACCAGCGGACGGAATCCCATATACCAACCCAAGCATTTATTGCACATCTCGATCCCTTTAAACAATAGGCGCTCGGTTTGAGCAGAGGTCTTGTCCAATCCCAATCTCAAGGCTCAGACTCCGTGTGATCCGCGGAAACGCTGCGCTCCGTGTGGCACTGATCATACCTATCCCGGAATCGGAAAGCTCGACGGTGTCCCATTATCTCGGCCAAGCTCGTGGCGCAAGTCACCAGGTTAAGTCGCCCAACCCGGACGCCAAATGTGCGGAAAGGATACTACAAGGATAAGGTAACAGAATTACCACGCTGTTTGTGCCAAGTCTGTGCCATTGCATGCCCTTTCTGACCTGATCTCAGCATTGTTCGTGAAGGTGCGGCAACATTACTCTTTGCAACTCGTTGCTTCATGCTGAGCATTGAGTTAAATTACTCTTTAGAGTCCCCGACGGTACCTTTCCGATGATGCCGCAGTCAGCGCCTGAGGTGCCGGATACAGGGTAACCGCCATGTACCGCGGAGTTTTATTTTGGCGCAGCGGTGTCCGTCACGATGCTATGCTGGAAATAAAAGACACCCCCTGACCGTCCAGTTCAAAGAGCTCCGTAGCACTGACATACTGCTTTTGCTTCGAAGGCTCGAGTAACACCAGCCATGCACTGCGTCGGACATAACGGTGACGGTGATCGCGGCCCGTATATATTCTAATCAAAAGTAGGATGCGCTTATTTATCAGTAGGATGCTTTCAGTCAACTGGTCTTTTTTTTTATGAAGTATTGTCATACAATGATCTCATCGTTGCTGGACCTGCACATGTTCATCTGCTATCAAATCAACTCCCAACTACTTCCGTGGCCCGCTAAAACGATCGATGAATACGTGGCGATGATATATAGACTGCTTGCCTCAGTGGGGAAGCATCGGCCCTTCATCCAACGATTCCATCGTCACTGGAACTGCGCACGCTCCTTCACATCTCACGACTGCTTCTGCCCGCCGCTGTTAACACGCAAAATGAATACGTGGCAAGACTGCTTACCCCAGTGACAAGTGACGGCCATATTCCGCGCTGGCAGCTTGTATTTTTTTCCAGCGGCAATCAGGAGCAAGAGCAGAAGACGCCGTTAACCCTGAAATATTCGGCAGCGGGATGTTTTGGTTAGTTTCAAGTTTTTCATGAGCCACCTAGCACTCATTGCGGAGTTTACACGGCGTCGCTGCAAGAGAGCCATCCACCTAGAGGGACACTCTAGATATTTTTGGGAAGAGATATGAACTCCCCTAGCACACATCGCATATTTGCACAGCGCCCAAGGGAGCAACTATCTCCCTTCTATTCACCTACCTAGGGGAGACTAAGCGCCTCCAGAGAACCATCTACCTGCAGCGAGTTCGCCATAAACGGTGCAGAAGGCAACAAGCAATATAGAGCAGAACAAGGACAGGACAAGGACAGAACAAGAGCAGAATGAAGAGACGCCTTATAAGGAAAATTGAGCCACGTGGACCCCCTTTCCCCCTGCTGAAGGATTTACATATTGGTGTCTGGAATCTAGATCCTTTGTATCGCACGCCTCTTGGTAGCATTTAAAAGCGAGTGGTCAAGCTTACAATGAGAATACAAGTCTGCGTCGTAAGCACTTCACTCATATTCTGTGTTCAAGTGTTTGAGATTTCCTCTATCCCAAGATCTCCATTGCTCGAACGACAAGAAGCGAAATTGATCAACTCAACTCATCAACAAACTACTAGTAAGTCACTGTCGTGCCATCAACCATACCCCACTGATGTGAAAGCAGAAACACGTAGTTCACTGTCGCAACATGCCACTCACTCATAGACATATAAAGACGACCTACCACGCCGGTGAGTCATGTGGTTACATCCAGGACCCAAACTACTCTTACTCACGCATTGATCAAACCTCCCACAGCCTGAGCAGGCGTCACTGGCAAACATTTTTTTGCTGTCAAAGCAGCAACAACGGCGAGGACAAAGGAGAAATGCATTGTTTGTGAGAATGTGATAATCAAATAAATCTGAAGACCCCTTGCTTTCTATGTGCTGAATGTTATTCGTCATGGTGATGTGGCAAGAACCTATCCACCTGAAATCCCCTTTCGAGCAGATGCATATCTGCAATTCCAGCAGATTGCCACCTAAGATTAATGCTCTTGGCAGAATGCTGCCATTCTCCCAATGGCAAATGCCTGTAGTAGGTTGGAGGCCGTTGGTAGAAGTTAGCAGAAATTCCCGTGAATCCTAGTCTTACTGACGAAAAAAATGCAAGGTCTCATCACTACTTAAACCTCGTTGGATCTCGTCGACTAATCCTTTTCATACACTCTCGGTCGAGCCGACCGAGATTCTGTTATAACATCTGGCTATCAAAAAAAAATTCTACCCAAGTCACGTTCAGGTCTATCATAGCCATTACTGTCACATGTATCCTTTTCATTCGCCCATCTGAAAAACGGTCCATGAATACGTATTAGTTCTTAGACTGCTTACCCCAGTGGGGAAATAACGGCCCTTCATCCAATGATTCCATCGTCGCTGCAACTGTGCTCCTTCATATCTCACAACTGCTTCCACCAGCCGATTAACACGAAAAATGAATATCAGAATCTATCAGAATACGTGGCGAGACCGCTCCAGGCGAGGGGCGGAGTGGCAGCCGCGTAGCACCGTAGCTTAGTCAGCCACTCAATGTCCTTCTCGTAGCTCCAAGTTCCGAAACCATTTGTTGCCTTGCTCGCGACACGCAGGCACACACTCCACCGCTTACCCCAGTGGCAATTAATGGCCATTGTGGTATAATCCCCGCTGGCAGCTTGTTTGTTTTCGACGGTGATCAGAAAACCCCTTGACATATTCGGTACCGGGATGTTCTGGTCAGGAATTCAAGTTTGCCATCATGATATGATATGAGCTCGCCCAGCACTCAGAGCGGAGTAGATAGCAGATTTCCACGGCGTCGCTGCTAGAGCGCCATCCACCTCTATAGTATCGAGGTTGTTATAAGTAGACGGCCTGGAAAGCAGAAAGAGTGTTGCTGCCGCTCTGGATATTTATGCAGTGCTGGAAAGGAAACACTCTTTGGACGATGGACCAACGAACGGAATCCCATATACCAACCAGAATGTTTATTGCAACTCTCGATCCCTTTAAGCTATAGTCGCTCTATTTGAGCGGGAATCTGTCCAATTCGAATTTCAAGGCTCTAGTTCCATCATGATACACTCCACTGACATGCTGTGCCCCGTCGCGTCTTTGATTAATAACAGAATCGGAAAGCCCGATGCGTCTCCCATCATCTCGGTCGAGTTCATGGTTCCAATCGCCCAATCCAGACCTAAGACGCCAGTGGTGCTGAAAGGATGCCACAAGTAGACTGACGTGCACTGCCTGGCTTGGCTTATATCAAAAGGCTTTGCCTTCGTCAATATGTGAGCGTCTTGCGTAGACGCTTAGGCTAGGCCAGGCCAGACTCGGTTCAAGCTAGGGCTCATCACCAAAATCGCATCGGTCGATACCTCTGCCCCCTCCGTCATTACAAACCCTTTAGCTTTGTGAACTTCCTTCCCTCCTGCTGAAGGATTTACATGTTGATATCTGGATCCTTTGTAGTATCGCACGCCTCCTGGTAACAAACACAGCATTTAAAAGCGAGCGTTCAAGCTTACAACGAGAATACCAACGAGAATATAACACTGCGTCGTAAGTACTTCAGTCATATTCTATGTATTCAAGTGTTTGATTTTCTCTGTTCCAATATCTCCATTGCTCGAATGGCAGTAAAATTTGTTCAGAAGCGAGCGCGTTGATCAACTATGCAACAAACTATCAGTAACTCACTCGTCGTGCCACCAACCATACTGCACTGACGCGAAAGCAGAAACACGACTCACTGTATTCACTGTCGCGATACGCCACTCACTCATAAACATATAAAGGCGACCTACCACGCCGGTGAGTCATGCGGTTAAATCCAGGACGCAAACTACTTATACTCACGCAAATTTTAACTGACTTGCAGGCCGAGCAGTCGCTAGAATATACGCAAAAGAAGGGACATTTCTCACTGGCAGCGTCACTGGCAGATATTGATGCTGTCAAAGTAGCAACTACAGCGAGGATAAAGGAGAAACGCATTGTTTGGGAGAATGTGATATGAGGTGAAATATATCTGAAACCTTGGGACAGTGCTTTTATATGAAGAACCACCTGAAATTCCCTTTCCAACAGATGATATCTGCCATGCCAGCAGATTGCCACCCAGGATCTACATTGTGAAGCAAGGTCTATTGGCAATTTGGTATGTTATCACCTTGCGAAACAAGGTCAATGTCAGCTCGAATCCGCTTATCGGCAACAACTTCAACTACTGCAACGAGTTCCTTCTGCATATTAATGTCCCTACTACCCTAGACACCTCAGTGGGATCACGTGTAATGGAAGTAATATTTTTTATTTTGCAAAGTGCCTTGACGCGACGCGCATAACCGAGTCGCGTCACGTCAGCCTGTTCATCGGAGCTATAAGTAGCATGTCCCTTGATGTGTCCACCCTGGGTTCGGGCTTTGGATGATGGACCAACGAACAAAATCCCACACACCAACCAGAATGTTTCTTAAGCAGTAGGCGCTCGATTTGAGGGCCCAACTTGAAAGGTCTGTCCAATAATATTCGAATTTCAAACTGACATGCAGTGCCCCGTCGCGTCTTTGATCTATCCCGGAATCGGTAAAGCCTCAATGGTGTTACATTATGGCTCCAATCGCCCAATCCAGACACCGAGGATCATGGTAACGAAAGGATGTCACAAGTAGTGACGTGCATGGCCTGGCTTGACTCCAAAGCTGGGGCTGGGGCTTGGCTTATATTAAAAGGTTTCTGGCTTCGTGAGCGCTTGCATAGACGCTTAGGCCTGAAAGTCGAAGCCGCCGCAGTGCTCCACTCACCCCCTCGCTATGCGCTACTCAAGAAGATAGACCCCTCAGTGCCCTCCAACAAGTTCGCGAAGATCACCATGTCCCTGCCGAGGCGACACTGCTCCCTCATTTTCCAACTACGTTCAGGTCACGCGCCACCCAACAAGCACCTTCACCGCATATCATGCTCTCCTTCCCCCCTATGCCCCAAGTGCGGGGAACGCAACGAGACCGTACACCACTTTCTCATCGCATTCAAAGGATATGCAAGACTGCGCAGCACACTCACCACCAAGTAAGGCCCTCGAACCCCAATCCCCCCTTAGAGCCTTCAGACGCCCTTAAAAGCTCCACGCGCAAGCGGGAGCCAATGATTAGAGTACACACACGGACATTGCTTCATATTTACATTACAGTACCGTACCGCATGTATTGTCTACTATAGGGCAACGCCCAACGGACAATAAACACGGATCAAAAAAAAAGACGCCTTAGGCTCGGTTTAGGCTAGGCTTGGCTCGAGGGCTCATCACCAAAATCTCATCGGGCGATACCTCCCCCCCTCCATCAGAAGCTGCGAGGCATGTGTCGGATGGAGGATGAGAAAGAAACAATGTTGAAGGTTGGATTCATCTTCCACCGACTAACTTACATGATAGGGTGACAGACTGAATACCTCGCTGAGCTATCGTATGTTCTTTCTGACCTATGTCAGTCAGTTCGCGGATTGCTGCAACAACACTTGAGCGGCGAATTTTCTCGTTGTATATTGCGATCCATTTCTTACCCTGAGCGTTGGGATCAGCTGAATCACTCTTTAGGACGGTTCCTGGCTGATGCCGAAGTACAAGTCATTGCTCAGGGTGGCAGGTTCAGGGTAGCCGCCATATACCGAGGATAAATTTTGGTCGACTTGGCGGTATCCATCGCGATGCGATGCAAAAGCCACTGCGTCCAGTCACATCCGTAGCCACCGTGTTTGCTTTGACGCTCGAGTGACCCTAACCATGTGCTGGCACGCGCAACTTTGTCGGATATTCATATGATAGTGACGGTCTAGGTGATTGCGGCAAATAGATCTTCGCATCAACAGGGAGTGGGATATTATTATCGGTCACGTAGGATGCCCTAAAGATCGTAGACAGCATTACTACACCATGAGATATGGGCGCTATCACCCGAATGCTTGAATTCAAGAGCGTCAATATAGCTGATGAATAGTTGTACTCACCTACGACGTTCGAGGACAAGTTGGTGGACACAGGGGTTTCGCCGAGTATGCCACATGTTCCTTAGGGAACCCAGGCTGCACTTATTCTGCCAGTGGTCGCGAGCCAGACATTTTTAGGAACGGAGAAAACTGAGTGAGCGCTTCTCGGATCCGTCCGGTGGTCCTAGAACGTCTGGATCAGTCGAGACTGCTGGTGCTTAGCTGACGGCAGTGGCATTCTGGTGGTTTATGATGTTATGAGGCCCACCTTTAGGTTTTGGCATAAGAAAGCGTTCGACTTGTTGGATGAGATTCTCCAAATGGAAAGATAAAAGATTCAGGTGTAAGACGTACGACCAGGGGCTGATTTGACTAATAAGGCAAATTGATTCATACCGGAACATCGGAAGTAATAAAGCAAACCTTTGTCTCGTTCAAGTCATCGTGCTTCACATACTACAACGACCCGTCTTCGAACAAGCGTCAAAGCTAGTATCAGAGGTATCCTTTAAATCGTACCTACCTCCAGATCAAAGTGTCTCGCAATCAATTGATTCATCTGGCTAGCGACACGGTCTACGATGCTCAACCTCCCAACGCTCCACACCTACCTCACACAACTGCTCTCACCCACAGACACCATTCACACAGCGCTGCTTCTCACGCCAGAGGGTGCGGTTGTATCTTTTGCCTGTTCTTCAACGGCCAGCTCGAGTGGGAGTAGTGACGGGAGTGCAACACGCCCGCTTACGTCTACCAATGGACACACCACGCCCCCATACGCGTCAAGTTCCAACGGGCATATAACTCCTCCACAAGGGTACTCCACGCCTCCACAAGGCCGCACTCCACCCCTACGAGGGAGGACTACTCCCCAAACGCCACCGCACACGTTCTCTAGTGCTGCATCGGGGGGCAGTGGGTCTTCTCAGGACGCAGTCCTTGCAACGCTCGAAAGATGAGATATGGATCTTAGCCGGATTGAGCGCCGAGGTGTGGGCTGAGACAAGGTGTGAAGAAGGGGATGGGAAAGGGATGGGGATGGTTGAGAGTGAGGTGAGTTGTTGATTTCTCTTGTGGTCTTTACTTCTCTTCCCGAGTTTACGTGAAGCTTCTAATTGTATACGTGATTCTGTACCAAACTTCAATACTTTGCTCCTTTGTGCAGAATGTTGACTGACGAGGAACGCGTAGCTGGGCCGAATCGTAGTCGTCCCTGTCGATGATGCTAGCCCGGAGGTACAAGATGAAAGGGAGCCATTGCTATTACTCGCTGTAAACGGGGGAGCAGAAGCTGATTGGAAGACCATGTGTGCAAAAGTACGCGTCTCAGCTTACACACTCCCTTGAACGCTGATGCATCCGTCTTACAGGCCAAAAAACTGGGAGCATACCTCGCGCCCTCTGTAAATAAACACCGAAGTGCTATTGAAGCGTCTCCTCTGAATCGTACGCCGGCAAGCAAGAGTCGGACGAGGAGTACGACGACGTCTCCAGGGGGCTTTTTCCGGTAATAGGAGTGTGGAGCGTACGATTTGATGCGTATGACTTGATCTGCAAGTGATAAGAAACGCTGCGGGTACGTCGGAAGGAGAAGCAGCCAATGAGAAGACGCGGTTTTGTATACACGCGACTTGGTGTTGGTTTTCGAAACCGGCCCTGGTGGGCATGACTGTTGGACGGGGACTAGAATATTAATACGCGTACTGCAGTACCATCTGCGTTGTATTTTTGCACTCTGGAGTTACTCTGGACTCTAGAGTGGGAACACTTGTGTTCTATGATACGCGATCGGCGGCAGGCGCGGGAAAAAAAAATAGAAAACAGGAAATTAGCTGCGTCGCGAACGTGGACACTTTACATCCGTTCTGTTTCAAACTTTGGCTTGGTCTGACGTCGAGGATGTGGTCGCGGTCAACGGCGAGCATGCGTATTGCATCAAATGCGCGTAGAATACAAATATCATCTAGACGACAACATAGACATCATAGTGCATTGGCCCAACCCCAGGCCCGACCTTCACCCGCCTCAACACCAACAAAAACAGACCCATATATCCTCCTTGCGCCTCACTTAGAACAACTAGCGCACATCCCTGCTCACCCTCCTCGGCAGTTCTCACCCATCCCTCAACGCTATCGCCCAATACTACTTCCTCCACCCCTCCAAACAACTCCGACCCCTCCTCGTCCTTCTCTTCGCGCGTGCAACAAACGGACTAGGCGCTGAATTCCCCCAAGTTCAATGGGCAGCAGACCATTCAAGAGCCCACCAACAAGAGCTCGACGCGCCTTTAACCCGCAAAGACGTGTTATGCGATTGGAATCCTAGCATGCCGGACCACACCGCGTCTTTTGAGAGCGCGTTCGAGATGCGTTTGCCAACCTTCTCAACCTTTGCAGCATACCCCACCACCTCCACTGCTTCATCAGACTCACTCGCCAGCTCTTACGCATAGTTTGCTTCCTACGCAGCTGCGCCTGGCTCAGATCGTGGAGATGATACATGTCGCTTCTCTTCTTCATGATGATGTGCTTGACAAGTCCCCTTTGCGTCGTGGCGCAGCCAGTGCCCCAGCTGCTTTTGGAAACAAGTTGGCTGTGCTAGGCGGTGATTTCTTGCTTGGACGCGCGAGTGCGGCGTTGAGTCGTCTAGGGAGTCACGAGGTAGTAGAGCTCATCGCGAGCGTCCTCGCTAATCTCGTAGAGGGTGAGATTTTGCAGATGAAAGGGAATGGTGGGGAAGCTGCAACGTCACCCAGTTCTTCGTCATCTGTGGGTAGTGACATAGACCTCAAGGACCTTCATTCGTCCCCGGCGCCTCCATCCTCCGATAAATGGTCTATCTATCTCAAAAAAACTTACCTCAAGACAGCCTCGCTTATGGCTAAAGGCGCACGGGCTGCTGTTGTTCTTGGAGGATGTAGAGAAGGTGAAGTGTGGAAGGAGGTCGCGTATGCTTATGGGAGGAATTTGGGTATTGCATTCCAGGTGAGTGCTTGGATGCTGCTCTGGACGTGGTTTTGCTATGTGGTCTTTATTTCGTGACCGCACGCGTCTTCCACTGGTTTGCTCAGTCAAACCTGTCATATTTTGCTTCCTTGGGTTCTCTACATCATTACCATTTCTATACTCACACCCCTCCTCACCCAGCTCATAGACGATACCCTCGACTTTTCGTCCTCCACAGCTCAACTCGGCAAACCCGGCTTTGCAGACCTGCGCCTCGGACTCGCAACAGGCCCCGCGCTCTACGCTGCTGAAGAGTTCCCAGAACTCGAAGGGATGATCGGGCGGCGGTTTGGTGGGGACGGGGACGTAGAGAGGGTGAGCATTCCTTCATAAAATCCGCGTTTTACCCATCGCTGACTCGCTATCTTTCTCTATCGTGCAGGCCCTCACGTTGATCTCGTCGTCTCGTGGTGTAGAGCGTACGCGTGAGCTAGCGCGTATACATGCTGAGAAAGCACGGGAGGTTTTGGCGTTGTTGCCTAGGAGCGAGGCTAGGGATGCTCTAGAGGGTTTGACGGAGGGTGTTGTTAGAAGGCAGTGGTAGATACCCACGAGGTGTGTATACCCATGAATGGTGGTGAGATGATGGTCTAGCTAGTGGACATTGCTGGCTCACGAACTGTGGCAACGCGCCGATCTGTTGCCAGCCATATAGTAGCTCAGGACTCAGTGAAACGGGTAGTAATTTATGGATTATCGTTCGCATTACATAGATTACGCACCTATCGCAATTCAGTCTCGTCGATGCTTTCGTTAGATTAGCTTTGTCCGGGGTCTGGGGATTGCTTTTTTTTTGCTAGTAGTAATAGTAGGGCACTTGATGATGAGAGATATGAACGACCTCGGTACTCGTGAAATGCTAAATACTGTCCCTCTCAACTTCTTTCAACGAGAAGCAAGGCAAGAGGGATGTAGCTTGCGTCGTCAGTGTTTGTGAAGTGCTAGATACACCCCCTCTCGATCTTCCCTCCGATGAATATCGAAATGGAGAGTCCGGAGGAGATGTATCTTGTGCTGTTCTTAGTACTCGTACTTGTAGTGCTAGCTGTAGGTATGGGTGTAGGTACTACCCCCTCTGAATCTTCATCCGATGAACTATGGCATATTCAGAGGATTCAGAGGGGTTAGAATTATCTAGTATTGAAATAGTACTAGCAGGAGAGTTGGACAGTAATCAATAATATCATCGACCAATTCCCTATTCCCCTGCAGGCTGTAGTACTAGTACTTGACTTGCATGGGGGTGGTTGACGTACCAAGAAAACATCAATTGGCACCGATAAGAACCATGCGGCATCGGGTTCTTCCGGTCCAAACTTTTTCAACTCTGGCTCAATCCCTGGTTAGCATATCATATCCAATCAGCAGTCTGTCTGAGTGTAAAATGCCGTCCATCTTTCCCCAAAGGAATCATTATTCAAGCCTCGAGATGCGGGCCGCATGGTGAGGAGGATAGGCATCGATTGGACCATACCACGACGTTTCGTGTCACCGTCACGGGCCTGGGCCCATCGATACCTGTCCTTGTGAAGGTACTAGCGTTCGTTTTGTGGATCTATATGTGGATTGTGGAACTTAACTTTCTTTCTAATCTGGGTTAGGGCTTCTGGCATGTCGATTGACGATCATATGTATTCTTTCGATGATTATTTGACTAAGGAAGAGTTGTTGCGAGTAGCGACGGACGGGAGAACTGCGAAGACAAACGAATGGCTACGGTAAGTGTTAGTGAGTGTTAAGTATGATAACGAACGAAACCTGTCCTTCTGAATCTCTTGTCAGATCGAAACCGTGTCTACAGATGCTACGATCGAAGTTGTCTCCCGTCATTATTTCAAACACACTCCTGGCAGTCTATCATCCGATATTAGCATGATGACATCTGCTATGATACTCCAAGTGTCCCGCCCTATCCAGATCACCATCCAGGTGCATTGAATGCATCTAGTAGCGCCGACCGGGTATGATGCCTTCCGCTCCAACTTGCGACTACCATCTCCTCCCATTTCCCGACACGCAAAAGCTCGTGATCATCTGCAACGCAGATCCTGACGACAGTAAAAATCACAATATCTATGTATATCCATTGGCTTGTCCGTGACCCACTATCATCTGCCTTTTGTCATTTGAAACGTCACGCAATAAACAAAGGACCTGGCAGGCGCAGTATTCACCCTTGCGCGTGTCCCTCAGCAAGATGTCATTCAGACACGAATTCCATGGCATGGTGTTGCTTTGAACTTTGTGTTGGCAACGCCAGTAACAGTGCCTGGATGGCGTACGAGTCGTCGGTGATCAGCAGACCTACTTGCTCCGAATAAGTAAGTCCTCTGTGTTGGCGGAATATCACCACACGGAACAAGGACTCGGCTCCTAATGTGTGTGGGGGATTGCTGCACTGAATAACGACATGCGCCATAGACTTGTTGTATGCGAGTTTCCCCTTCCGAGTCGATGACTGGTATAGAGGACATTCTTAATAGCAAAGAAAAGTCGATCGATCGGTCCCAGTTTTAGCAACTAGGCAATTCATACCTTAGGGCGTACATAGCTGCTCCGCGGCCCTTTTGTTCATTGCTGTTCCTTCTAATATTCCAGGTTTCTCATTGGTTTCGTCGCTATATTTGGACATGATGCCTCGGTGAGCACCTACTTGCCCTCCTACGTTTCCCGGGGTTTAAATTTTCATGTTCGCGGGCTTTTGCTATACCGCTGAGCAGTCGCCAATTTACTTCTGCCAATATAGCGCGTCCTAGTCTCGTAATTCAATCAATTCTCCATCATTCAAAATCACCACACCTCAGAAATTTCTCATCGTCATCGTTGACAACCAGGGCGCTCAATTAGGAATGGTGTGCCCCTCGGCCTCTAACATTTGAATAGCTCTCTGAGCGGCTGCCTCCTTCGCAGCCCTCTTGTTCGTCCCCGTCCCATGACCGTATGTCATATCATCGACTAGAAGTACGTAGTAAGCAAAAGATACACCTGAGTATTCATTAAGACCAAATCCACGCACTCAAATAAGTGCCAGTCCACACAGTGTGACTCTGTGAGCCGCTACTTGTTTCCTCGTAGGTGAAATGAGCGGTGGCGTTCGTGCCGTGCCGACCCTGGAGGAAGTTGTTGAGACGCATAGTGAAGTCTGTTGATTATGGATGGTCAGTAAAATACAGGGAGCGGCATTGCTGCCTCGGATGAAAGGGTGACGCACGGGAACTCATTACGAATGGCTTGAGAATTGGTCTGAAGTGAAACTGGCTTTCCGCTGGTCAAAATCATCAGGCAGCATGGTTCGTATAAATCCCCTCATGAGCTGGTTAGCTGTGCCTGCCAAAACAACAATCTCTATTCAAAGGGGACAGATCGCTGGACCTGCAACACATCCAACGAGTAACGTCCAGCACGGCTTTGATGTATCAATCACTCGCCGACTTTTTCTAGCTCAAATTTCCGAAGTTCCATGGATGACGGAACGGAACTTGAAGATAAAACCTACTCGATCGAACCCGCATAAACCCTTTGAACATATGTCATAGCAGGCTCTGGCGTATCGCTGATGACGGAATGGACTGTGTGGCATCGATAGGCTTCCATGAAAAACCCCGAGGTCCAGCAGGGTGAGTTCGTTGTCCATCTTAAAAGACAAGGTGATCCGTAGCTGCTCAACTACCCCGTTCTTCGCCGCGGACACGAGTGTCTGGCAGATAATGATAGTGGTGCTGCAGACTTTCCGACGTCCTACAAGCACAACACCGGGTCGACAACACGGGTCGACAGATGTGTATGTGGGGTATGACAGCAGATACGGAGAGGGGTGACAGACAAAAACGTGTCACTTCAAAGTTCAAACACTGATCGAACGCGTCTATGTATGCACGTGATGACAGGCGCCACTGTAGACCAGCCAAATCGTTGGTCCCTGACTTCTCGGAAAGTGAGATATGATACGGTAAACAACAAGAGCCCCAGCTATGGTGTGCAGCGTGAAGACTGCGACCACTCGGAGAACCGATTGGGTGTTTGCGTGCTCAATGCCACAGGTTAGGAGACAGTAAAAGTTGATTATCAGGCGATAACCGGTCCATATGTGGAAGTATGATCCGTATATGTTTCATGATCTCCTTCCGAAATTCGAAGGCCGTGTCGAATATGCATCGATGAAATTTGAAAGTAACAGGTTCGTCCCATATCCGGAATGGCAGAAGCAAGGTGATTTGTTTCAATGCAGCTAGTAAGAGCACCAACTGATCAAACACTCCACCTCGACTCAGAGGAGAACCCATATGAGGGAGCCTTGGACAATCTAGAAGACAAGACAGTCAAATTCAGTCCGTTCTCCGGCTCACAAGGATAGATCGGTTGCAGCGGGCAGCTGTGAGGTAGAAAAATAACGACCGTAAACTCCTTATACGATGGATGGATGGAATGGAGTGTTCTTACTTGTCTACATCATGGTTATGTACAGCATCTCTGTGAGAGTGAACTTGCACCGTAACTGGCTCGGGTCTCTTGAGCTCGACGATGCTGAGAGAGTGAGCATCACTTCCTATCCTAATCTATATTCTAACCATCGCTGACTCGTCGTATTTCATTCTCTGTCGTGCAGGCCCTCACTCTGATCTCGTCTTCTTGGGTGTAGAGCGCACACGTGAGCTAGCGCGCGTACATGCTGGGAAAGCAGGGAGGTTCTGGCGCTGTCACAGGTACCTAGAAGTGGAGAGCGAGGGATGCTTTGGAGGGTTTGACGGAGGGTGTTGTTAGGAGGCGGTGGTAGATATGCGTGGGCCAGGTTTGATGCGGGTCACGGGCACTTGACTTCTGGTAGACAGTAAACGAAAATATGGGATGGGACTTCAGTTGGCAAGCGCCACTGGCAGAGAGCCGACCCGAGTCTCTTTTGCAAATCCATGAACTAGGTGATCTCGTCCTTCCAATCAACGAGTCGTTGGCGAAGTCGTTTTATACCGTCCACGACCGTTTCCATGCCTGGTATCTCATGCACAACTGCATTCAGCTGCTGCCGGCGTTTGGCGATGATGGCACTGATGATCAGGTCTTTGAGCTCAATAGCAGAATAGTTTGTACTAGGAAACTCGGCTCGGGAGTACGGAGTTAGTACAAGGTCTGGCATCTACTAGCTATTAATATGGCATCGGATATGTTGAGAGGTGATCCGTCAGAGCACCGAGCCGGTTCCAGATAAATATATCTAACTGTTCCAGTTCTATGTACCTTAGCTGCCAGTGTCACTGGACGTCATCCACCCTAGTTACTGACCATTTTCTCTTTTCTATTTAAGGATGGCTAGACGCTATACTCGCACCTCAGTCTTTCTACCATTGACTGAGGTGCGCATACCATTCATATTATACTATACATGATACTTACTAGCGGTCCTACAGACTCACGCTACCTTAGGTTAGTTTACACGAATAGAGTCTTTCTACCATTGACTGAGACTCACGCTACCTTAGTTCTCGCTCTTTAACAGGTTATGAGCCCTGACTAAAGGGTAGCGACATCTTCTCCTCGAAATCTCTCATTCTCTCGCCGATAACCACTCGGCTCTGACACTACCATGTCGTCTCCTGACTCCCTTCCCAAAACTGAACGATATCCGCATGAGAAGCTCACCCTCGACGGATCCAACTACTCTCAATGGGCCACTGGCTTTAAGATGTGGTCCGGCGGCATTGGACTATGGCCATATATCAACGGCGACGAGACGGAACCATCACCTCCAGCCACACTCACGGACGTGGATCAAAACATTATTCGCGCAGAGAAACACGACGAGCGAGTACGAGTCTACAAGCAACGCCGACTCCTCGCTCTCAGCGCTCTGTCCACGGCAATTGATGCGCAGGACTTCGTCCACCTCCGCGATATAGATGATCCGCACGTGGCGTGGATTGCTCTAGAGAAGAAGTACCTTCCCCAAAAAGCTATTCGATTCAATCAATACCTGGACCGCCTGTTCACCATTCCCAAGGCGCATGACAGTGCCTCCATCGCCCAAACCATGCAAACCCTTACCGTGCTGAAATCAGACCTTGCAGCTCTCTCTGTCACCACAGTCGCACCCTCCACCACCAGTGTCGTTACAACTGCGGCAAAGGACGAGTACAAGATCCCGGACGCAATCTTCGTGCATGTTCTATTGCGCACCCTACCTGACTATTACGACCCCCTTCGTCAAACCCTCGTCAACAGCAGACACTTCGCTAGACTTCAGCGATGTTGTGAATCGCCTGAAGACTCAGGAATTGCACCGTGCTGGGACCAGTGGCAGTGACCACGTGGCCATGCTCTCTGGACACCGAGGAGGAAACTCCTCCAACCCCAAGACCAGCGATCGTGTCCCACCGAAAGGATTTGATGAGATGAAAGGGGATGGCTGGATAGTAGGATGGCGACCTAAATGCGGCCACTGTCAAAAGGCCGGTCATGTCTGGGTACAGTGCCGTGCACGGCTCTCCAAGGACGACAAGACTCCAAAGTCAGCACCTAGTCCTTCCTCCCCTGCCGCTACCACCGCTGACACGGTGTCCTCCCTGCCAGACCCAACTGACGAGTCTATCACACCACTTCCATTCGTCCTTACGCTAAAGGATCACTCAGCCAATATCTCATCAGCCCTTACTTTACCGGCTGGATCCTTCCATGTAGACTCTGCCTCAACGGCTCATATGGAGCCCGAAATATCACGCTTTTCTCACTATGTGAAACTGCGTGAACCTATCCGTGTGACGTTAGCTGATGAGCATGTGGTGTTAGCTCCAGGATGGGGTAAAGTGAAGCTTGTTCTCCGGTTTGGTGATTCGTTGACGGAACACGAGCTCGAGTTCCTACATGTCCCCGATCTACGTTGCACACTCATTTCGGTCTCCACCCTCGCCTCTGCTCGTATATCCTTCACGACAACCTCCAAAGGGGGAACACTGCGCTCTAACGATGGCAATGGGCTGTACATCGCCCACGTGCACCAGAAAGGCGGATTATATCTGCTAGATGCGACATACCACATGGCTTATTCCACCCCTGCACGCGCGATGCTCACAAAGGCTACGCCTCCATCTCTCAATACGTGGCATCGTCGTCTTGGGCATGCTGGTTTTTCGACCATTATGAAGGCCATGGGACATGTCAGTGGAATGAACATCGACAAGACCACGCTGCATCATCACGTCGACGGCGCCGACACGATACACTGTGTGTCCTGTGTTATGGGAAAACATAAACGACTTCCCTTTCCTGCCGTTGCACGCCGCGCTAAAGCGACAGCCGACCTCGTTCACTCCGACGTCTGGGGACCAGTCAACATCACTTCCTCTACCGGTGACCACTATTTTGTGGTATTCACTGATGACTACACGAGGTACTCAGTGGTCTATCTAATGCGTGCCAAATCCGAAGTCTTTGATCGTTTCCGGCACTTTATGCCCTGGATAGAGACGCAATCTGGGGGGCGTGTCAGGCGCCTTCGCAGTGACAACGGAGGCGAGTACATGTCGAGGGAATTTCTGACCTACCTTGGGGAACATGGTATTGAGCACGAAACCACCATGCCCTGGACTCCCCAGCAAAATGGTGTCGCGGAACGCGGGCACCAAACCATTGTCACTCGTGCACTCAGTTCACACCACCTGAGTGGCTTCCCGCGTTCGTTCTGGGGCTGGGCAATTCTGAACTCAGCCCACATCAAGAACATGCTCCCTTCCTCATCTCTTGCTGGTCGCACACCATTTGAGGTGTTCTATGGTCGCAAGCCGGACGTCGGCTACCTTCGCCCATTCGGTTGCCTTGCCTATGCGCACATACCAGAGGACACCCGCCGCAAGTACGACTTCGTCTCTCGTCGCTGCTTCCTACTTGGCCATGTACGGAATGCAGGCTACACTCTCTGGGATCCCTCTACCAAATGCGTCGTGCGTTCCCGTCATGTCCACTTCGACGAACACGTGTTCTATGGGGATCCTGCTTCCTCACCCCTCGCTCCTCTCCTTCATGACTCGACGGATCTCCCTGCTGTCACTTCATCGGTGGGAGGTGTCTCTCAATCAGTGGGAGCGCAGGCTGGTGAGCCACCTCTATCGACCCCTGCTGACTGCGTACCACAGGTGTCAGTGGGAGAGCATGACGACCCACCTGACCAGAACGATCTGCCAGTAACACCTGACCCAACTGAACAGGTAACACCGCCTATCCCACAGCAACCTCCAGTACCTCCTCCCCCTGCACCTCCATTGGATATTCCGCCTCGTCGCAGCACTCGTTCACGCCAACCGGTACAAGCAGGCCATATCGCACCCTCTGGCACCAGCGCAACGGCCATACCAACACGACGAGTTCCTGTTGCCGAACGCTGGACATATGTACCAGAGTCCTCAGCCAGTCAGCACGACAACGACAGTACCGAATCCGCAATGCACACAGCTACCGAACCTCCCAGACCTACCGAACCTCCCAAACGCTCAAACATAGTCATACCCGAAACCATCAACAAAGCTCGGTCATTACCAGAGTGGCCTCAATGGTCAGATGCCTGCAAATCCGAGCTACAGTCAATGCAGGACCTCAAAACACACAAACTCATGCCACTCCCAGAAGGACGCAAAGCGATTGGTTCGAGATGGGTGTTCACGGTAAAGACTGATGAAGAAGGCAACATCACCCTGTCACAAGGCACGCTTCGTCGCGCAGGGATACACGCAAGTTGAGGGGATCGACTATACAGAAACGTTCGCGGCCGTCGCCAAGTACGACACAGTTCGTATTCTCCTCGCCCTCGCGGCGAAATTCGACCTTGAACTGGACCAGATGGACGTACGTACCGCCTTCCTCAACGCTGACCTCAAGGAGGACATCTACCTCAAGCAACCGGCTGGTTTCGAAGACCCTGAACATCCGGACTGGGTGTGGAAGCTGGAGAAAGCGATTTATGGGTTGAAGCAGGCGGGGTATGAGTGGAACCAGACACTGGATGAGTACCTGCGGAAAGAGGGGTTCAGATTCGTAAGGAGCGAAGCTGATCACAGTCTGTATGTCCTCCACGAGGGAGACAAAGTCATATGGCTAGTCGTCTATGTCGACGACATGCTCGCAGCGTCGAACTCTCGCGATTACCTGGACAAGTTCAAGACACAGCTAAAACAACGCTTCGACTTATCGGATCTCGGTCCCGCTCGCCACTTCCTTGGCATGCACATTATGCGCGACCGTGAGAAGAGGCTCCTCACCATTAGCCAGAAGGCTTACCTTGAGAAGATTCTCGAGAACGCCGGCATGACACTGTGCAATCCTGTCAGTACACCTATGACACCTGGAGTAACCTTGCAGAAGGCTACACAGTCCCCCAACGAGTGAAGAAGCGGACGCCATTGCGTCGATCCCATATCGCCGAACTATCGGTGAACTCAACTATGCTATGCGAACCACTCGCCCCGACATCGCTTACCCAGTTTCATGCCTCTCCCGATACATGGAGAACCCCAGTATCGACCATCATCGTCAACTCAAACATCTTCTCCGGTACATTCGTGGAACTACGGATTTAGTACTCATCTTCGGCTCGTCGAACGAGGGACTCGTTGGACACTCGGATTCGGACTATGCTGCAGATCGAGACGATAGCAAGTCCACCAGCGCTTATGTCTATCAACTGTTCGGAGGGCCCATTAGTTGGAAGTCTCAGAAGCAATCTGTGGTCGCTACCTCGACCACGGAGGCCGAATATATAGGTCTATCGAACGCTTCACGCGAAGCATTATATCTAATCCAGCTTCTACACGACTTCCGCCTTGACCCCGAACTCTACGATCCCGCACTCCTATATGGAGACAACCAGTCCAGTATTGCGCTCTCGAAGAATCCAAGATTCCACGAAAGAGCCAAACATATTCGCGTCCACTACCATCTCATCCGCAACCTCGTCGACACGAACAAGATCGAACTCCAGTACAAATCCACCTCGGAGATGATTGCTGATAGTCTAACGAAGGCATTACCTCGCCCAGCTGGGATCCAGCATCGGGAAAACATGGGACTACGTCGTCAAGACCTGCCAGGCGCTCTGACGAGTGGGAGTGTTGAGAGGTGATCCGTCAGAGCACCGAG